ACATTGAGATTTTCCCATACAATAGACATGATTTTTTTTGCCGTTTTTATAGATAAAGGAGTAAGGATGTTTTAAGAGTACGGAACCCTTCGTGCGTGAGCCCGACTCGCATTTAGCCGGTTGTTTTAAATTATCGTTCAGCGTTTTCAAGTTTTTCTTTCATCAAGAACAACATATTATAACATTTAACCGAATTAAGCGTGTCTTTTGGCACAAGTCTATGAGGGTTCCTTTTTGACCTATTATTAACTTCGTTCATATTAAACAATTCTTTATGTCATTTTACAAAGTTACATATATTCAGATTTCAGTTTCTCCACATAGACGGTTTCGTAGCTCATCGTAAACCAACCCAGCACCACTAGAAAGGCATTCACTTGATGGAGCGACTGACAAATACTGACGTAATACTCCATAAAGTTCAAAATATTTTGGGCTTACTTTACATCATGAAAGACTGTCTTCAGTCAGTGATATTCAGTGCATATCTCTTCAAATAGCATGATTCGCTATTTTCATCGTCACTGTAAGGTCGACGAAAGTCGTTTCGTCGACGCGCCGCTCGACCAAGTCATTCATTACCAAGTGTGTGTGTAGTGATGGGCCGTAGGATACTATTGATAGTATCATGAAGGCTTTCGAAAATGTACACAGACGATCCCTATAATATCTTGTATAGACAATGATTGTATTTTACTTTTATATTATATTAGGAATAATAATAAACAAACAAATGTAAAGTATGAGAAAGCAAAAAGTTTTAGAAAATCTTCCTGTTTATTATTATTTTTTTAATTAGATGGAAAAGGAATTATTTAAAAATACATCTTAAAGTCAAATAAATTAATAAAAGCAAATTACTTATAATTAAATTTTTTGTGTCGTTCTAAGGGGGAGGCCTATGTTCAACAGTGGACGTCTCGCGGCTGATGATGATGATGTTAGGTGCTGAATTTAGCATATAAACTAACATAGAATTCATAATTCTATTTTTATCACGCGCTGCCACAGGAGTGGCCGTGGAGGAAGAAGGTCGGTTCTCGACATTCTGCGGTTACCTACGTAATTTCAAAAGTCATTTAGCCGAATATTTTTTATGAAAACTATTAGGAAAACTATTATTATTAAGATTATTATTTATGAAAACTATTATTATATATTAATTATTAAGATAAAACTTATAAATGAAATATTATCTAGTCACAAAATGCAGCAAACAAAAGAAAACTATTAAGAAACTGTTTTAATTAATAATAATAAACCGGCAGATTATTTGTTACTTCCACTAAAAATTCTTCTTAATAAGAGGAAGAGGAGGAGGATTTTATTTATTTATTTATTTATTAAGGTACACCAACAAACAGCATAACATATACTTACATTTATATATACATATATTTTTAGTTAGAGATTTTGATCTTATATTTACGCCAATTATAGGTATACACAACATTTACGATCTAAGTACCTAAAAGTAAAACAAAAATAAAATTTAACATAAGAATTAATAATAAAAACTAGCTATTTTGTAAAATTTATTTTGTGGAAACGGATGAGGAAGAGGACTCTTGAAAAAATGAGGAAGTTCCGCATTAAGGCGCTGTATGCAGTGAATTTTTAACTATTTGGGTGGTGAAGTATGAGGAAGCGGAGGAGGAGTAACGCCGCTTAGCGGCGCGCAGGCCGCGAGTTTCTTCGACGCGTCGCTAGACCAAGTCATTCATTACCTAGTGTGTGTGTAGTGATGGGCCGTAGGATACTATCGATAGTATCATGGAAGGCTTTCGAAAATGTACACAGATGATCCCTATAATATCTTTACAGCAATGATTGTATTTTACTTTTATTTGAGGGTCTTTAGAGATTTCTGGCTTAAACTTTAAGGATAAATATTTTCGAGAGTTGGTAACACTGGACGAGTTTTATGACATGAATGACACCCATTTGTTAATTGATTTTTTCTAAATATAAATCACTTTACTAGCGTTTAAGTGAGGGAAAATATACTAAATATATATACGTACTTGAAAACTTGAAAGTAATTTTTTGCACGACAGCTATCTATAGATAGTGGGTGTCTTTTTTTTTGTATTTCTAAGATCTTGTTCATATATTTATATCTATGAATTATATTTTAGAAATCATTATTCAGCTCTTGCCGTTAATCTGAGGGCTAATTGAAAATACAACAAGATTACCGAGTAAGTAAGTAACGATAATTTATGATATATAGGATTAGGACAAATAACAGCTATGGAAGGCTTTGAGTTTGATCAATATTGTAGTAATAACTTAAACAAAATGGATGTAGAAAAAGAATTAACCAACAAGTTTCTATGTGGAGAAATGTCTTTCGCTGAATATTCTAGCGAGTGGTATGGTGTTGATGACGAGGAGGAAGAAGTTGAAGACATCAACAAAATGTCAGATGATGAGTCAAAGCCATCGAAATCTCTAGTTGAAAAGGTTGGCCAAAGACGTCGTAAACTTACTCGTTTGTCTACTGCTTTGTTGGGATTAATGGGAGAAGCTAACTTAAGATTTGTCAGGGGTGACAAAGAAACTGCAGAGAAAATGTGTCACGAAATTATAAAGCAAGTTCCAACAGCTCCTGAACCATACCAAACATTAGCTCAGATATATGAAAATGATGATGAAAAATCCCTACAGTTTTCATTGTTGGCTGCTCATTTAAGTCCATCTGATGCTAATGAGTGGTTAAGGCTCGCTGCCATTTCAAAACAAAGAAGAGATGTGAAACAAGAAATGATCTGTTACTCTCAGGCCATCAAAGCAGAACCATATAATTTAGATATTCATTTGAAAAGACTTGATTTATTATCAGCCCTGGAAGAAATAAAATATCCTCTTAATTCATTGAATATTACTAGGGTGAAGTGCTATGATAAAATAGTTACATGCCTGCCACCTACAGAGAGCGAAACTATAATGAAATATGCTAAAATGGCAGTAACTATATATCATAAGAGTCAAGAGTTGGAGCGTGCACTATTTGTTCTTGATGCTGCATACAAGAAATGCTCACCTCTGTTCACTTTAGAAGACACAAATATTTTTTTAGAATTATTGATAAGTCAAAAACAATATCAATATTGCTTGGATGTGTTTGTTGCCAAAATTGGAGTTATAATTGAAGCTGAAATACACACTATCAAAAATGCTAATAATGAAATAGAAGAGCAGACTAATTACATAAACTGTACTATTCCTGATAATTTGCCCATTGATTTTAAAAGCAAATTATTGATATGTTTTATTCATTTGGGTGCTGTTAGTCTTGTACAAACCTTACTAAGTGATTTCTTAACCAATGATGTAGAAAAAGCTGGTGATTTGTACATGGACATTGAGGAAGCATTTTCCTCACTTGGTTATCATGAATTAGCAATGCAACTATTGGAACCACTGATCAAAAATACTTCTTTCGACTTAGGAGCAGTATGGCTTAAACACGCTGAATGTCTTTACAACTTGGGTAGGCCAGATGATGCTGTTGAATCTTATTATAAAGTTTTAAAACATGCCCCACAACATCCAGAAGCTCGTCGAAAACTATTTACGATTCTGGAAAAAAAAGGTTGTATTGATGAAGCTTTAGATATTTTACAACAGGACTATAATTATGTTGTCAGTGCAAAGTTACTTTATGAACATTGTATGGAGTTGAAAAAGTATAACAGAACACTTAAATATCTTGAAGTTGGTGAAGCTCTTCTGTCAAAAACATTTCCCAGATTTAGACATCAAGAAGAACTCGGTATTGCTTGTAAAATGAAAGGGGGGATAGAACTTATTCATGATTTTAGATCTATGAGAGGAGAAAACCCTTATCATGAAGATGATCTTCACTTTGATGAGGATGAGACATTTAAATTAACACCACAACAGGAGTGGGATTTATTCAGAGAGCTATTGGGTATTGCCCATAAACATAGAATATATTTTACAATGCAAAGATTATGTTTTGGTGCATTGATGTCAAAAGCTTTAGCACATCTTCGCCCCAATCTTGATTTTTACTGTCTCCAAGCTTGTATTCTGAGTAATGATCATCAAAATGCTCTAAGATTTATAAGAGATTTTTCATACAAGTATCCTAGCACATGCTCGTGGAATCTATTGAACCTGGTTATAGGTTCAGTTGATGATACAGCCCATGTGAAATTCTTGTCTAGGTTATTTCAGAAAGACCACAGCATTGTAAGAAACTTGTTTTTAGGCAATAACTTTTTAACATCTGGTAGATACCTTGTGGCTTTAAAATATTTCTTAGAATACCATGATCAAAGTAGAGAAGCATTGTCTTCATTTTTAATTGGTGTAACTATATTGATTATGGCAGCACAGAGGACTGTAGATAAGCATCATAATTTGATATTGCAAGGACTGTCATATCTTTTAACTTATAAGAAATTAAGACTATGTGATCAAGAAGCAAATTATAATATAGGAAGAGTTTATCACATGTTAAGTTTGAATAATTTGGCGGTAGAATATTACGAAAAAGCATTGAATTGTGACCCCATTGCAAAATGTGAGCAACATGGCGTAATAGATTTAACTAAGGAAACTGCATATAATTTGTATGTATTGTACAAAGATCATTCACCAGAAATGGCACGTAATTACATGTTCAAGTATCTTGTTGTTTGAATAAATGTGATCACAAATAAAAAAAGCTATCATTTACTTTCCAAGATCATAATGTGTTTATTGGTCTTTTATGAAGATGGACTAAATATGATCATAATCATAATCATCTTTATTTGCAGTAATATGCATTTGATAAGATATTACAAAGTAATAAAATTAATTATTTTCTAAGTTTGTTATTAGTGAAAATTTAATTATTTTTAAAAATTGGCAGATTGTGAGAGAAACAGTCAAAAAAGTTTCAGATCATATAATTCCACCTCATATAAGATTACTTATTATTTATGTTATTATCTTAAAATATTTAAACTTTTAGTTTTACAACAATGTCATCAAATGCAGTCTTAGTAGCTGCAGACAAAGTTCCATTTGAAGAACTTTGTACTCTTTTTGATAGTCTCAAGATAAAAAAGAAGAATGAGAAATTCTTTTTGTTGACAAACTACATAGACGATTTTAGGTTACAAGTAGCTCAAATCACAGAAGAAAAGGTAGTTTACAGAATAAATATACATTTTGCGAAAGTACATCTATTTAAAAAAAAAAACTCATGAAGGATTCGTTTCCAGGATTCCAGTTTTTATCCTATATTGAGATTGCTATTACCTGCATTAGAAAGGGACAGAAATCCGTATAATATAAAGGAAGCAAGACTCGGTAATATATTAGTAAGAGCGCTGGATTGGAACAGAAAATCACAGGATTCTCAAAAACTATTAAATCCCCATTCGAACAAAATCCACCATAAAGACTATGTGAGTGTGGTATGCGACGTTTTAAAAACTAGAGTCAGCGAAACATCGTCTTTAACAATAGGGGACATAAACGAAATACTTGATAATATTGCTAATGCGGAGAGCGAGAAAGCACGTAAGTATCCAGTTGGATGTGAATTTAAAGAAAAAAACTAGGGAAGATAATACAATTTTTTTGTTTTAAACAGTCGAAACTACCTAGTGAAGTTTCCGAACATGACGAACTTAAGGCAAAGGGCTAATTAACTTCTGTGTTAGCATTATATTTTTGACTGCTATAGCCATTATTATATAATATTTATTAAACCTAAAGTTATATATTACAAATATCGTTGTAACATTAAAAAAACACTTTTAGCAACACTGGAAGATATATTCGGTTCTGTATTAAAGAAAATAAACGTAAAGCAATTAAGATGGTTTCTAAGGATCATTTTAAAAGATTTAAAGCTGAATATGGGCGCACCCTCGATTCTTGCTGCATTCCACCCTGATGCTGAAATATACTACAACAATTGTAGAGATCTAAAGAAGGTCAGTTGTTAAAGTTTTGCAACTCTACATTCCAGGAATTATTGGTTGTCCAAATTAAATTGATGATTTTAAACTAATTTAAAGTACTCCACATCGTAAAGTTAAATAAAAGTAGCATTAAGTCTTTGTGTGGCGTAATGGTTGGAGGCGCCGATTTATTTTTTTATGTGAAAAGTGAATAACGCCGCCCATTGTCTTCTACAACACGATGGCTTGCAGATGCGTTGACAACCTTTAATAAAATGTACCCCGGCTACCTCACTCAGCAGACGAAACGCAGAAGTATAACACTCCCACTTTACGCCGGTCTTCTGTTAGCTGGTACTTACTCGGACGAACTTGACCATTCGCGCAGCAGCGGATGCTATGCGTGGCCCTTCCACAGACGGGGAAGATAACTTCAACTCGTTAATGTTTTTTTAACTTGCTGTATTTCCCGTAGCAAATCGTAGCGTAACATTTTTGCTGGGTGTATGGAGTCAAACTTTTCGTGAAAGGGTTAAAATATAAGCTCGTGAAAAGTTTATAAGCTTATAGTCTTTGAGCAAGCAGAAAGACATTTTATTGAAAAAACGTTTTATATTCAGTTACTAGCTGTTGCCCGTGACTACGTCCGCGTGGAATAGGGGGAAGGGAAGGGACAGATATCTATACATATAATAAAAATGTAACTTGTCTTTGTCTGTACATGGAAGACATTTGAGAAAAAACTATTATTAAAGATTCCCCTTTATCAACGCACTAGAACCTAAAACAAGGTTGTTAAAATTTTTGTCTGTGTGTTTGTGCGTTTGTGCGCGTTAATCTCAGAAATTTTCACTGATGCATTGTAGTACTTCACTTAAAATTTAGTGTTAGTTTTATTCAAATCGGTTCATGAATAAAAAAGTTATATCAACTTAAAAGTAATGGCTATAGCTGAATTGAATGAAACTATAGTTAACTATAATTATATTATGGTCTGTAAAATGATGACGATTGTTAGATTATATAAATTTAAAAACCAGCCAAATGCGAGTCGCAATCGTGCACGAAGGGTTCCATACCATAATCTATAAAAAGGCAATAAAATTATGTCTGTTGCATGAGAGCCCCACTTAAAAAAATATTGTGATTTCCTTTATTTGTTGTTATAGCGTCAACAGAAATACAGCATCTGTGAAATTTCAACTGCCGAAATATCACAGTTTATGAGATACATGTATCAAACAGATGCTAGCAGTCTAGCTAGCATCTGTCTTTTTGTTTGAACTCGCTAATCTCAGCGACTACTGGTCTGACTAGAAAAAATTCTTGCATTGTTAGATAACCAATTTATTGAGGAAGGCTACTTTTTAAGAACGATATAAAATGTGGTACATACGGGCCGAACCGCGGGTGAAAATCTAGTGTACAATAAAATATCACTTCAAATACCACATTAACAGTTTGCCTTCTGAGAAACAATTACTATGGGTCACACAAATAATTGTCCCGTGTGAGAAGAACCCAAGCCGAAGGCAATGCCTTGACAACTACGCCATGGTCTGTGATCAAGCGAGTTGTATTCGCGAAATAAAGAAAATTTTGTCTGAGCCACACCCAGTGACGACCTCAGCTTGAATTATGTGCCTTTGTATAGAAGTTACGTTCATATGAAGTTGAAAATGGAATCTACCATTGCGCAATTTTACACCGACATTGCGCGGGATTTTATATGCAGAATAGCCACTTGCAGTAAGCGAGCTTAAAAACTCAACCGGCTAATTTGTGGCTTGGTCATTGGTTGCAGTGAGCATAATGCGTTCACATAACCAAGAATTTTGACGACCCGAATGGCGTAGTGGGTAGTGTACCTACCTCCTGCGCCAGAGGGTGTGGGTTCGATCCCCACTACTGGAACAATATTTTGTGATGAACATAGTGTTTTTCTAGTGTCTGGGTGTTTATATATGTATAATATGTATTTATTTACAAAAGAAAAGTATGTTTAAGTATGTTTATCAGTTATGTTATGTCTAGTACCCATAGTACAAGCTTTGCTTAGTTTGGGACTAGAGCATGTGTAAAAATGTGTCCTAAAAAAAATATCCTGATATCGTCAGAAAAATTCTTGGTTATGTTTAGGCTTGAAAGTTTTCCAAATACTGAACTTATTAGTTTGTTTTCGGAGAAAACGACTGTACCAAGTACGTTTGGAAGACACACCTGCCCATTTTTCTCTGAAAGGATATCCATTCTGCCTTTTCAAATTTTAACAGAACATCGGAAAATTTTTGGGCATGTTAACGAAGTCCACACGCTGTCAACCGCAACTTATGTTTTTGAGACCAGAGATAAGAACGCTTTAGTCCCCTGATAAATTAGAGGAAGGGTTTCAAAAATCTCTAGAGAAAACAACTGTGACGTTCCCCATTGGCCTTTCATCTCGGTGTATGTACTGTAGTGTTCTATCAACAGCGCTCAGTCAAAATTCATCAGTTTACTTTAATGTCTATAACCTATGACTGACCCCAATGTGCAAGATAATGAATTGCGTCTATGGCGAAATGGGTATCAGCACTAAGTCGTGTTTGGTTTTCATTGGATTGTTGAGATCAAATGGTTCTCATTCTTTTTAATTCTATCGAGGCATTTTTGTAATAAATAGTAACTAATTTGTAGTAAAGTAACCAGTGAAAACTGCATCAAAATCCGATAAGTAGCTTCCGAGTTTATCGCGCACAGACAGACAGACAGACAAATTTCCAAAAATGTTTTTTTATAACTCTTATTATGATACCCTATTTCATTTTTTCATAAAAATATTCAATGTACAGACACGCCGATTTTTACTCCTTTATTATAATATAGATGTTTAAATGTTAACGTAAGTAATTTTGTCTGTATGTGATAACTAACATCGCATTCTTACCTTACTTTATTATCAACTTTTAGGTTTGCAAAAATTTCGACAGTGGTAATACTCGACCATCAGAGATGGGCGTGAGCATATTCAGCGCTATAAGCCCGATGCTTCTACAGCCACTGTTCATAACGAAGCTTTCCGATCTGTCGACTGCAAAGAGCTATGTGGTAGAAGAGAAATTCGATGGGGAAAGATTCCAGGTATTTTTTAACATATCTAACGTCGACATGTACTTTACAATTTTGAACGGAATATATGTTTACATTCATACGATTTTAGATACACATGGCGGACGGCGTATTCGAATACTATTCTAGGAACGGCAAACCGTACTCTCACAATTACGGGAAGACGTACGAGTCGGGAACATTGACGCCGTCGTTAAAGGGTTGTTTCTCATCGGAAATCACAAGCTTCATACTGGACGGAGAGATGGTGGGCTGGCACAAGACACAAGATAAACCATCGTCAAAAGGTTAATATCATTATAGCATAAAAAGATGACTTAACTATGGAAAGCTAATAAAACATCTTAATTAGTTGAATTAATAATCGCTTACGGATTTTAATGCGTTTTATTAAAGATTTAAACTCGCAAAGATTCGAATGCTTTACAGTATTCAGGGTCAGGGGACGGGCGGGTTTATTAAAATATGATTTGTTTTATATTTAAGATATCATTATGTGAATTTTGTGATATAATTAAACTTTGTTATTAAATGAAATTTAATTTGTTAAAGGAATGAGATTGGACGTGAAGGAATTAAAGGATCATTCGGAATACAAGCCGTGCTTCTTCGCTTTCGATTTGCTGTATCATAACGGACAATCGTTAGTTGGACCACCGGAGAAAGGCGGATTGCCCCTAATTATGCGTCTAGAAACGTTAGACACGATGTTTGAAGATGTGCGAGGTGTTATATACCGCAGTGAGAGGAAATTGGCGCGGGAAATGCAAGTTTTTTTTATGTTTATTTGTAATTAATACATAACCACCATATTCAATGTTACAGAAATGAACGAAAAAAATATTTCGAAATTTGTTTTAACGGTGAATTCTAACCAAAAAACCGAAGTATAAACAATGATGAATATTTCTTTTCCAATTTGTAATTGTAGAGGAAAAGTTTCAATTAATTTTTAAATTTATACAACCCAAAATAAAGTAAGTAACAGCCTATACAGCGTGTCGTAACACACGTCTAACGCTACTTGCCAATAATCATAAAAAAATGTTAACGTTAATCAAAATCCATAATTAAAAAAAATGTTTTTCAAACAAACTAATTAAAAAAGAAACAAAATTTTTAACATCCTATACATCTACAACTGACTGATTTATCAACATAGGTACATTCAGAGACTTTTTCATTTGTTGCCACAGCGTCGCATTACAAGCCTCTCCTTCTAACAGTATGTTTTGGCACTAACTAGCAGGCCGCGAATGCCGAAGAGGTGGGTTCGATTCCCATAGCGGCGACAATCTTTTCGTAAGTGCAGAGATTAGCACTATAAAAAAACATTAAATCACATAAGTAGTTCATTGGTCCCTTTACTAAAATAACCATGAGGGCGAGAATCAATAAACTGTTTGAAGGCGGTTTGGACTGCCGCATCAGAGTTGAATTTTTTTCCTTGTAAGGAGCGGTCCAAATTCCGGGAAAATGGTAATCTGTTGTAGCAAGGTCTGGGAAGTACGGTGGATGTCGCAGACATTCCAATTGTAACTTATCTAACTTATTGGTTGTTTGTTGTGCAGTGTGTGGTCTTGCGTTGTCGTGAAGCAGCTGTGGCCTAAGGCGATTGACCAATCTCGGTTGTTTAGCAGCTAGTCCTTCTTTAATGGTTTGCAGTTGCTGAATATAAATATCTGACGTAATCGTTTGGCCAGATTTTAGAAAGCTGTAGTGAACGACACTGGCGCTAGTTCACCAAACACTCGCAAGTAACTTTTTCTGAGTAAATTTCGTTTAGGGCAGGATTTGCCTGGGTCTCCAGGGTTTTCAGCCTTGCGACGAGCGCTTCTGGTTACCGTACATATCCACTTTTTATCACAAGTAATGAATCGGTTTAGAATCCCTTCATTATTGTGTCGGTTGAGAAGCCACCCTTTTTTTGTTGACCGGGGGAAATGCCTACGCATACACGCTCTCGGAAGGTGTATGCGTAGGCATTTCCCTACGTAAGAGAGAGCATAAGAGCGGGTTATGTCGGACTCGCACCGACTAAAACCCCCACGATATTATTACACCTATGCGCATATCGGCAGGGTCACGGGAACGCTTTGGGGGGGAAGCCCCCCCCCCCCCCCCCCCCCCCCCCATGGGAGCCAGGAGAGCCAGTGCTAATAAGCAGCAAGCCTCCCAGCCCCCAGCGGCGGACCTGGTCTGTGGCTCCGCCGCTCACCACGTTTCGGCCGCGGAGGGTAGGCCATCGTAATACCGACACTCCTCTTCCCCCGCGGCTCCTCCTCGGTAGCAGAAGACAGGGAGAATGGCTCCACCTCTACCACCCTCGATCTGTCCCCTGCACTCTCCAGCACGTATCCAGAGTGGGCTCAATGAGCCCACTCGGAGCGGCCGTCTCGGGCCGGCCTTATACCACAAGCCCAGTGGGGGTCTCTCTTAGCTTCACCGTGGGAGACCAAGCCACGGATACTAAGCCCCTCCGCCACGTCAAGGCGGGAACCCGATCGAAGGGGTAGAAAAGCCACCCTGTATACAATTGTATTCACACCACACTAACCTGACACCTAATTAAACCATGCCATTCTAACTGATAAGAAATTAATCCAAATATAAGTAGCCATGACCTTTAATAAAGTACTAGATCACGCTTTAAAGGATAGGGTTGTATTAAGCAGAAACTGTTGTTACGCACAATATTTCGGATAATTTCGCACGTGGCTTTTTCAGGAGTTCGTAAATTCTGTTATGTTTCTGTTTGTGTTAAGACACATGCGGTCAACAAGTCAACGATGATAATATAGTACCTTCTTATTTCTCCTGCATGTGATCTAATTGTTTTATAAAAAGAACTAAAGTATAATAATTTTAGTAACGCTCTTTCATTTTCATGCACATAAAAATATTTCAAGTCCTATTTCGATTATTATCTCTATGCAGCTCAGATATAGAGGAGGCATTCAATAAATCTATCGACGACGCAAAAGAGGGTATAACGGTTAAGGATACCGAATCGTATTACATGGCGAATCGAAGAAACGCAGGATGGTACAAAATAAAGGCAGAGGTAATACTGTCTGCTAATTATTATGAAGTTGCTAACAAAATCCGTAGTCCACCACATACAGTCGTACATTTTCGTCAAATAATAAAATTTATTCAATTAAATAATAAAATAAAAAAAATGCAATTGAAAAAATATGAATATAATAATATTTTTAGTACACCGAAGGCACTATAGAAGATCTCGATTTGGTCATCATTGGAAGAACTCTGAGACATCCCAGCCAGTACTACGTCGCTTGCGTTGATAATACAAGTAAGTTTTTTATCAGTGTAATTCGTTGTGGTCGGAATACTGATCTCGTTTGAGTTTTTTTACTAAATAAAGTAAAGTATCAGCCTATACATGTCACACTGCTGGGCAAAGGCCTCCTCTGTACAGAGGGTATCAGGGCATACTCCACCACGCGGCCCCACTGCGGATTGGCGCACTTCACATATCTTCGAAATATTTTTTTTTATTATTATTTCGAAAATATGCGGGTTTCCTTATGATGTTTTCCTTCACCGCTGAGTCACACTGAGCTATCACGGCTATACTATTTTTTACTAAAATGTAACATTAATTATCTTTAATGAATTTGAAACATTGTGGAAAATTAAAATAGGTAAACAGAATAGACGAAATTTAAATGTGAGCTCAATAGATAAGTTGTCGAAAAAGTTTTTCGGTGCAGAGAGGACTCGAACCGGAATTCTCCTATTTTGAAGTCGATTGATAAATGGCACAGTGTACTCGCTTAGCTCCGGTTGCCATGGCGACGCGTAACTATGGCAACCGGGTGTATGTTGCGTGTACGTTCGTCGACGCCAGCGCCGGGCGGCCGGTGGCTGTGCGTTGCGAAGGTGGGCGGGCTGGACGGAGAGCGGCGCGCTGCGCTCCGGGGCCGGCTGCAGCCACACTGGCGGCCCGTGGCCGAGCAGCCGCCGCCGCCGTCGCTCCATTTCAACAAGAAGTGCGTCGACTACTGGCTGCCGCCCGAGAGCTCCGTCGTCCTGCAGGTGAATGAATGAACGAACGAATGACTCATCATCATCAACATCATTTCAACCTGTATGAGTCCACTGCTGAACAAAGGCCTCCTCCACAGACTGCCGCGAAGTACGATCCTGAGCCACCTGCATCCATCGACTTCCCGCACATTTGCACACGTCGTCACTCCATCTAGTTGGGGATCGTCCTACACTGCGATGCCCAATGAAGGAATGAATCAATATTCTTTATGGCACACACATATCAAGCTCATTGTAGCTCAGAAGATTAGTAAACTCAAGTGATGATGGGCCGGCATAATAAATATTTTAGGACATATTTTTTTGTGGCAGTCGTGGGGAGGCCCATGTTCAGCAGTTGACTTTAACAGGCTGATCATGATGATAGATAAAAAATAGAATAGAAACCGATGAATTGTCGTTCGTTTCGCAGTTCCATAAAGCGGTACCAAGTGAATTATTTCGAATACGTTCTGCGCACCTTTCCAAGAGTTATTTCTTTGATCCCGTTTATTTACATTCATCATTGACACGTTGGAATTGAGAACGTGTTTTACAAAAGTTCTTTTCTTTTTTTTACATGTGTGATATTCCACAATGGTTTAAAATTATACTTCATGTTTGTCATAGTCAATTTCTACTTGTTTTATAAAACTGATCACCCTCACATATTGCTGAAATGGTAAAGCTACTTTATTATAACTATATATGATATAACTATGCATTGAATGATCGAATATTAAACAGTTGGGAACTAGGTCTAAGCTTTGACCAGGAATATGTCGCTGTCAGGTTCGCGCTTCCGAGCTGGTGAAACGTGAGACATACGGCACAGGTTACACCCTCCGTTTCCAACGCATCATCGAAGTACGCTACGACAAGCCCGTGAAGGACGCCATGACGTTGCAGGAGTTCGAACAAATGGTTTCGGTAATGTCCACCACCGTCTCAGATTTCCTTTATAAGCACTATTTCAAATTTAACAATGCACACGAACTGGAGATGTTGTATCTATAATGTAAAATGTTTTTTATATTATAGATACAACATTTTTTTTTATATGGAACTGACTAGCGCTTGACTGCCATCCCACCTGATGGTAAGTGGCGATGCAGCCGCGGATGGTAAGCGCACTAGCTCAGTAAAAGCCTATTCACTCTTGCCTTGAAGACGCCTACGTGATAATCGGACATAATAATATGTCCGATTATCATCTCAACATGTAGCAATTGTACGACATTTTAAATAGCTACGCTGCCTTTATAAACGACGGTCTTTTCTGCTCAAGTGCTCACTTACAGAATCATTTTCAAAACAATTTTCAGACAGTATTAAAATTGAAATATTGTATTATACCATTGTGACGTCTACCAATAATTTGAAAATAACAACCGAGTTTTGATTGAACTGATGGTAAATAAGAAACAGTTTGTGTTCTGATTTTTTTATCAGTTGTATAATATTTTTTTTAAGAAAAAAATATTTCTTAAAAAGAAGATACCTACGGACTTTTTTACTTTTACTTTTACGGAGTTTCTTTCGCCTGTTTCTTCTCCGCTAGAGGAACCTCATTACGAAACGGTGTTAGATTTTAAAAAAAATAAACTACCGATATATGAAACATAAAGTTCTTATGTCGATGAATAAATGATTCCAATTTTCTTCTTTTTTTTTTAATTCGTCGATGAATCATTGTCTCGGGTGAACAGTCCAACGCGGAAGTGGTCAAGTTGGGCAAGAAGGTGAACCCTGCCCCGGTGGAGAGCGCGGCGATGGTGCCGCGCAAGCGGCCGCTCAAGGGGCCGCTGCGGGTGGCCGAGCAGTTTCGCGCGGTGGCCGCCGGCGGCGTGGCGGCCACATCGCGCGCGCTGCTCGGCAGGAAGCTCTGCGTGGTCTCGGACGACGCGGACTGCGACAAGGCCCAGTTGGTGAGGATCATCGAGTCCCACGGCGGCAGACACGAGGAGAACTACGGTGAGTTTGTACTCGTACTGGCCATCGCCGTGTAGGACGACTAGATGGAGTGACGACCTGTGCAAATGTGCAGGAAGTCGGATGTGCAGGAAGTCGAGTGGAGGAGGCCTATGTTCAGCAGTGGACTCAAACAGGCTGAAATGATGATGATGATGATGAACTAGCCCACTGTGACTTTTAAGTTTTTTTTTTAAGTTAACCAGCCTGAACCACGTGCTCCGCGTTCATTGTCCTCGGTGATTGGTCGACTATGTTAGTAGAAAACTGTTATTAGTGATTCATTCGTAGTTGAAGTTTTACTCATTGAATCATGTTTTTTACTTTAACTTTCTTCACTCTTATTAATTGCTCTAGGATCGTATGTCCACATATTTTATTACATTCTTAAGATCGGATTGCATATTCGTGCCGTCAATTTATCAATATAACATCACATTTCGTCATAATTGTAATTGATAATGTCTTCTTGGTTCCCTCTTTAATTGGCTAGAATCCTATTAAAGAGGGGTAAACAGATCGTAACGCTCTTAAGAAATGACTTGAGCCTTTGCACACGCCAAGGACGTCGCAAATTGCATGATCTTTCTCTTTACGGTTTCACTATCTCTATACTAATTTAAACTTTTAATGTGCTAATCACATTTAAGATTAAACATTAAAATTTGTAGAAAAAGTGGACGAAAATCTTTCGTCGAACATACGTCTTCCGGATTCGCGCTCAGAATCATTAATCCATTTTATCTACAAATTTTAATAAAATCGCTTTACCATCCGTACAACAAGCTCTTTGTTCTGCCCAAAGTGCCGTTAACAATATGCCGTTCTTCGTTTGGAAGTTGTACGTCCTCGTTCTTAACGCGGCGGCGTCACTCCGCAGGCGTGGACACGTGGTGCTGCGTGGCGGGCCGATTGTCGTTCCACGTTCGGAAGCTGATCGAATCGAACGCGTGGGACATAGTCAGCACGTCCTGGCTGAGGGGACTCCCCGAAGCGGACAAGCCTTGCACGCTCTCCCCGCTGGACATGCTTTCGATCAAACGGGTGACCAGGCTGAGACTGAGCTTCGACTACGACTGCTTCGGCGACAGCTACAAGGAGCCGCTGGACGTGGACACCCTGAAGAGGTGCTTCGAGAAAATGGACAGCGATGTGAGTGAAATCATGTTTGCGAATAGGTAAAACTGTCCAGGTCGAAGCGGCAAATTGGATGGCGTCTGTTTTTCTGTTCTAATATAACGTGGGTGTCGTCAAAGCAAAAGTGAATGGGTTTCTGCCCACTAAGTGCGTTCGAGTTCGAGTGCGCTCGAGTGCGCCATCGAGCACACTTAACAAAAAACTTCGTGTAATATAGGGTAAATAAAAACTCACCCTTGACTCTTCTTTGATCTCTTCATTTAGTTATTCTTACCTTCAAAAAATGTTTTGCCTTTGTCTTCTAAATAAAGCGAAATTACTTCATCTCTTCATCGCCTGAAAATTTTAACCCTTTTAGTTCTTTTTTCCATTTCCGGGAACAAATAATAGTCGCTTGAAGCTAAATTAGAGCTAAATTGACGATGTTCCAAGTCTTAGCCCACTCTTTATATAAAAGCCACCGCTACATGCGCACTGTTCAAGATTTCTTAGTCTTGCAAAAGAGCAACCCTTCAACGGCAGTCAGTGATTGTACATAGTTTAAATGAAATCTGTTACTTTCGCGTAGATTTAAGCATTGCAGCGTGTGTATTAACTTTGAACGTTTTTTCAGGAACCTAAGGTGTATTTAACAACGCATGAGAAAATAAAAGTCGACAATGACCTATTCGAGTCGCACAATCCGATGTCTTTTCTGCGTTCCTGCTTCTTGGCGATTCCTAATAGTGACAGCATTTACTCGTTACGGGCTCGAATGTACGGAGCGACTTTGTGCGATTTGGATTCCGGGAATGTGACGCATGTCGTCTTGTCCAAGATGGCGTCTCCCCTAGAAAAAATGGCGGCAAAGAGAACCAACGCCGCATTGGTCACTGAAGAGTGGTTGGACGCATGCTTTGCCGCTGCTAAATTGGTTCCGGAGACCTTATTTATTTTATAATAATCCTCAGCTATGGAATAATTATGTTTCAAAATTATGTACCTTATAAGCAACGATATGATTTCACTATATCCAGCATAAGTTAAATTTTATCTTAAGATATACAGGGTGGCTATTTTAAAGGTGCCCAAATTCACTTGTAATCGTTTATTGAAGAAAAATAACTTTTTTTTTTTCAAAAAATTGCCATTCTATTCCCTAAAAAACAAAACTTGTTGACAATGCGGAAGACATAAATGCGTCGTATACTTTAAAAACGAACTTGTGTGCGTGTTAGTTATGAATGAATCACGCAATTTATAAGATAAGTTCAAATGAATGTAATTTATTAATTACGAGTGATTTTAAATATTTATCATTTTTATATAACATTATTTATGTATAGAATTTAATTAAAAAAAATGGATACACTTAGAAAAGCCTCCCTGGATATGCATACTTAAATACTTATTTACCAAATAACGGTAAACTAGATATAGAGGTGTATGTATATGTAGTCGGTCGACATAAGACATTCTTAATTTATTGACTTATATCATATAACCAAAGTTTCTTTGTGTGAGCACTTTATATGTAGCTGTAAATTCAATAAATATATAATTAAATACCTATGTCCAATCTGAAGTGTGGTTAGACTACATCAATGCGAAATAGTTGTACTACCTATGCATTTATTCACGTTTGTATTATCTGTATTTGCATTCTTATTCCGCCTCTAAATAAATGATTTTTTATTCTAATATTACTTTTAGCATCAAGGTCACAGTTATTTTATAGTGCTACCCAGATATCGAAACTTATCGGCTTGGTTCAACACATCCTCACCAAGCTTAATGGTCAGTGTCTAACGACCATGTGTCCAAGGACATCACCTACGATACGACGAAAATGATAAAAAGCAATGTAGATAAAGGATATTAAGATTTTCGTCGCTGTAGTAATCAGCCGTTTAACTTAGTGGCTAAAGCGTCAGGGCGCAAATCCCGAAGACGTGGGTTCCATCGCCACGGCGGCGAGAAAACTTCGTACTTTTTTCTATAAATTTTTATGTTTAATCTTAAATGCAGAGATTAGCACTATGAAAATTTAAACAAAATTGGCTGATCTTCAAAGGTGGCTTTGAAAAATGTCCATATTGAAGCACGCTTCAAGATATTAGCCAGTCTTGTCAGTGACTCATAATAAGTCACATATAAGTGACATATAAACGAGCCATAGTTGACAGTAGCCCGGGGTAATATTGACATCAAGACCTGAAACAACTCAATTTGTGCTTTGACAATGAACGCTGGAAACGGTTCGAAGTCCGGAATTAAAATTCAAAGTTAAAACGCGATAAAACCCGTTTAATAGTTTCATTTAATATGCATAATATTCGCGTAAAAACAAGAAATGAATATACTGAAAAGCAGTCTGCAGCATTGTCAACTGAGCTAAAATATTATATGTGAAATCAGCCAATCTGCAGTGGGATCCCAGCACAGGGACGTCTATTAACATTTTCTTTTCTATTTATCATTTCTATGTCACGCGCAACGTGACGACGGATTGTAATATTTCGATTTATATTTGGTTATTATAATTTCGGTTTCGTTTCTCTACCATTTAAAAATATTTGTTATTAAAAAAATGGAAGTGACCTTTAATTTTGACATCTCGGTTTCTGTACTGAACTTAAAAAAATACATATTCAATATTCGTTATTTACGTATTATATAGTCACAGAATTCAATTTTATTTTGATCATTGAATTATTGTTCGTAATTGTGTAATTACGTTATAGAAAAGATCAAATGAAGAGACGAACAGCTCTGTTCGCGTTCGAAATTCATTAGCGTAATCAAATGCACTCATCCGCAAAATGAATTAAAAGCGCGCGAAATCAGACAGTGCGTTTGTTTGTTCGAGCTCCAAGAGCGGCGCGTCCAATTACCGTTTCATACTGCGCTTAAGACGCGATTCTTACGTAGAGAACAAACGATACATTGATGGAAAACAATCCAGTTCACGCTTTATTTAATTGTTGTCTGCAGTATATTATTTTACGACCATAGAGTATCGTCGTTAGCTTTAATCATGTGTAGTTGGGATTAATAATGCCAAGTAAAAAATAAAAGTAATAAAAAAAAGTAACTGTGAACATATTCAGCGTGTTGGCACGATAAGTACCTGGCAAGATAAGGCACACCTGGGAATCACACTTGACGATAAAGTTACTTTTAAGGACCATGTGGCATCCGTGTAGGGACGAGTAAGAAAAGTCGTACACGTTATCAAGACCCTTCGTGATATAGTCGACCGCAAAACTTTAAGAACCGTGTACTGATACTATGTCAATCGATTATAAATTACTGCATCTTGACATGGGGAGGCATAACATCCACAACTCTTATATCTCTAGAACGAGCACAGAGAGCAGTTTTAAAAGTGGCCTTGAAAAATCCTGTCAGATTTCCGACTGTATGTTTATATTACGAGACAAACGTTCTTATTGTCAGAAGGCTGTATTTGTATTTGTTACGAGTTCAGTATTAGTACATAAATCTGTTCTTAAGTCCGCCAATTACTTCGACTTACTGAAAAAGAACATTCAGAATCCCTACCCCGCCAACCAGGACAACATTTGCTAAACGTTTTGGTGTAAGTATGTCTATTCCCTTTTATTGCTGTATTGCAACTTGACAATTTTTAAATCTTCATGACCGAAGATTCTTTTAAAATGGTCATATAATGAATTTGAAAGCGTAATGCCGGCTACCTACTGAAACTGGTTCATTTTCAAACGCACAGACAGACACGAGCACACACCGCTTCCCTATTTTACCATTAAAATTTTCATTAACATCCCGTAAATCTGTAGATCGTATTATTTACCCCCCATAGGACGGGCAAAAGCCTAGTGTGGGGGTCAGTTCATAAGGCATAAATATAGAAGTTTTTTTTTGGAAATAAAGTACTTTGTATTTGTGGTTTAACTTCTATCATTGTTCCTACGCCAAAACATAGGATACGAGCAACAGTGTCAATAATAAAGTGTGAGGGAAGAGGAAACAAAAAGAAATGTGTTCAAACTAGGTTCTACCCGCGACTATGTCTGCGTACAATAGACAGAAAGACAGATATACATTAAAATATAAACCACATTCATGGTTATCCCTTCTGTGGTTAATATGTATAAATTGTCCGCATTACTGACCTGCTAGCACACCGCGAACGAATAATTGACCGTGGGAAAAATAGATCTTAAGTCCACACCAGCTACCTTTAGGGTTTGCCCCTGAGACTTATTTTTCGCGAAGCAAGCTGCTGGAATGGAAATTATGTGCGCTTAAATTCGAATGGTAAGTTGTTGGAATGGCTGGTATTTATATCCCCAATTTCACCTGCGCCAGTTTCTGTGGTAGGGTCCAATAACAGTCTTTGCTGTTGTACTAATGGGCAGGGCTGTCCGGGTAAGTACCATGACCGCACAGAAGTGTACGTGTTATACTTCTGCGTTTCTTCTTGCAAGTGAGGTAAGCGGAGCCCTCTTTATTAAATAGTGGCAACGCATCTGCAACCCTATTGGTGTTGCAAATACCCATAGGTAACGGTAATCACTTAACATCAGGTGAAACGACAAATCGATTTCATGCGCAGGAAGGCCCTTTACAGTAAATGAACTTAAAAACCAATTTGTGGCGTTGTGATTAACGACCCGTGTATACGATGTAGCTATAAACCACATCCTGCCCTTCGAATTCGGCTAATTCTTCTTCTTTTATTGTAGTGGCTTGGTCATTTCTTTGTGTGAGTATAACGCGTTCACATAATCAAGAATTTTCCTAATGTGGTATTTCCTAACTTATCAGTTCGTTTCCGGAGGAAATGACTCTACTAAGAATGTTTGGAAGACTAATTTTCCACACGTGAGTGGTGTACTCACGTGTGGAAAATTAATCTTGCTCTGCACTTGAAACTCCCTTGGCTGCTGCTGATTTTATAGTTAGATAATCTCTTAAACTTATGGTATTTAAAAAATAAGCTAATGATCGACGAGTTTTTTGCCGGATCATCTCTGGACAGGTCTAGTTTAATGAACCAGTGATAGTTTTTATACGTTCGATAAAATAAGTCTATTATTGAATAAAGAAATTTTGACTTTTACAACCGCAACTTCATCCGCAACTTTTTGCATTTGAGGCCAGAGATAAGAACGCTTCAAGCAGGCGTTTATTTCGTCGGCTTTAGTCCCTCGTAATAACAGGAAGGGTTTGGCGAAAATCTCCAGAGATAAAAATTGTGACGTTTTCCATTGGCTTTTCATCTCGGCGTACGTACGTTCTGTAGTGTTTTGTCAACGGCCTCTATTGGCGCTCAGTCAAAATTAATTCTCAGTTTATATACTCTAGACTAGAGATAATGAATGGCGTTCCGTATCAGTACTAACTCCTGTTTGCCTTTCCTCATTAGATTCTTGAGATGTAATCGTTCACATTCTTTCTGCTTATCTAGTGTATTGAGACAGACTCGTCTTTCTTCGAGGCATTTTTGTAATTAATGCCAAAAGATCCATAACTAATTCAATATTTTTTTTCGAACGAAAATTGAATTTATTAAACAAAGCAGATGTTTTTATAAATATATATATATATAAATTAATATTCATCCTAGCCAAGTCTTTATTACAATTTCTACCAATTTACTTACTAAATCGCAACGCAAAATCAAGAATGTCCGTATACCGAGCAAAAGTAAAATCGTACCTATTATATAACCTATAATATAATTTCGCAGTATTGTTATTACAATGGTCAGCACTTACTATCTTACCCAAACGTGAAAACGTAGCTATAACCCATTTTAGGAATATAACAACGCCATCTAATTTTTGCGCAAGAACTAATTTCTTATCTGTAACTTACTTAAGGTGCGTTTTAATTCTATCACTGGACTAATTTAGTAAGTAACACATTATTTTGAAACTAATAATTTCACGAACACTCGCTAAGTCGCCCCTGTGTGCGCTTCACCCACTAGAACTTCGCTCCGCTTGACCTCGCGAGCTTGTTCCACTCAGGACCTCCGACCAAGGTTCTGGCCCCGCATTATTATATTCACTCTAGGGGTAGGGACCTCAAGACCACATGGAGTCGGGGTGCTCTGTGTCTGATTTTTGGGATTCTAATTTATACGTAGGTACGTTTTTTTTTTGCTATATCGAAGTAATAGCCTGCTAAAATTTTACCAATTTTACATTGAATATATATTTAGCCTAAGCTCTTGCTTAAAAGCTTCACTATTATCAAATCGTAAGTAATGTAAAAGATATTGCTTATAATGTGCGTGATTACTGACTGTACTGAAAACATATTTACTTTAATATAGACATATGATTTTAAACTTAAAAATCATAATTATCATATCAAATATCTTTTATATTTTTTGTTCATAAATAAAGTTAATGAAGTTGTGAGCATGTAACTTGAGATGATGGGGCTGGACAGCGGTGGACGAAACGAGAGAGGTAATTGGCAATCGTAGAACCAGATAAAGTATCATTTACTGATTGTATGGATATCGGATCAATTGTTATTTGAAATGAATATAAGTAGTTTTCTTGCTTTCAATATCTTTGTTAAAACCATAATCCGTTTTCTTTAGTCTTTATATGTCTGTGTCGAAATTTTAAAACTCTTCTTTACACAATGTGCGCTTATAATTAATACTGGAAGATCCTTTCTTTATGAGAGATGTTAGCAAGCGAGTTGCTGACTCTCTAGTCATTCATTGACTGCCCTTCGTGGGCATTTACAATACATGTGAGGTTGCATAATTCTCCTCTATCCCTTTAGAAGGGCCGAAATCATCAAATCCCTTTGTTTGCAGCGACTTATTAATTTCTCATGGGATTTCCAAGGGATCTTATTAGAACCTAGCTAGTAGCAATTTTGCCAATTGGTACAGACCAGCTGCGCGACTTCTGTTGCTTTGACAAAATATCCGGAGGAGACGGATGTGTGTGCCTCTACATCCCTCCACAAATATTTCGTATCCTTCGTTAAAAGATATCGTTTACCTACTCGTTACAAAACGCAGGAAAAGAAGCACATGGAAAACTTTTCTGATCCTCAAGCTGGTTCACGCCAAAAAAACTTCTTTCGTACGACAGAATCAAACGTAGAGTTTCTTAAATAATCGAATTTATTTTTATTATTGTTATATTGTAAGTGAGCTTTTCCAGAAACTGTTACTAAAACCAATAAATACATGACAGTAAAAGTAGACGAAAGTTTTTTACATTTTAGTTATTCAATTAAATTAGTTTTTAAAACAAAACTACTTTCAAAAGATCGAAAAACAATCGCCCGAGTTCGCCGATGGCCTCATATATACCTAAAGTTGTATTTTCTTACATGGAGAATTCTGATAATAGAAAAAAAAACAACACGGGATGAGTAATTTTACACCTATAGTGACAACAATTTGTTTTTTTGGGGGCTGTGTAACTAAGCTCGTTGTTATGATAGAAAAATGTGACCTTCATCGAACTTTCTATGAGCTCGCCATAGACCAACTTCGCTATGCGCACTAGTTCCTCTTCCACTTCATGGAGCTTTTGTTACGGACGGCTTCTATTTTTTAATAGTTTTTTTTGAGTAATACTTATTGTATTTATGTCGTTCAACCAAAGAATAATAGTAAAATCAAGATTCATCGGCTTTTAAGATGTAGGTATGATGCGTAGTATGAAGTCGTTTCCTAGATTTTTCCTATATAATATCTGCACCACGGTACATTCAGGCAGGTTCATTATCCAATACGCAAATCGCGCCGTCATCTAATCTTTACTTCGGTCTGAATTTCTCTTTGTCTAATATATTCCGATTCTACCTTTTAATCCTTTGCTAAGTCGCTTCTTTAACATCCTGAAATTCCCTAAGAATTAAGCCACGTTTATAATCTCATAACACCAATCACTCGGGAAATTGATATAGAAATAAGAATTTGACGCAATCATTATTCTATAACAAAAGTCTAGATGACCATATATTTTTCCAAGGAAACCATTTCAGCATGAACATTAATTCGAAATAACCTCGCTATTTATTATAAAAGCCGAACAAATAACAATTTGTACTAACGAAAAATATTTTTACGTCAATGCTTAGTCTGTTCCGTTTTAGGCCAATGGGCAAGATTTTTCAATTTATGTACAAGAGTTTAAAAGAAATCATTTCAATGTAAAAGGCGTCCCGACGCAACACGCCCCTCTACGCAGTTCGCCAATGGAAGATCTATAGGCGGGGCGTCACTAATACTCCGTTTTAAACTTGGAAAACAACTTTACAGCCCGCAATCCTCAATCGGATGTTTCAGACGGAACATGTCTCCGCGATTCGTGTTTGCTATCAACTGAGCAATTCTGTAGAATTGAGTAGGCAATCTGTTTCTGCCATACTATTTGGTTCGTTTACACGATGCAAAACGGGGGGAGTTGTGAAATGGAAAATGGCAGTGTCGGCAAGAAAGCGCTGCGTACGCCGAAATGCGCCAGGTGCCGTAACCACGGGGTGATTTCATGTCTTAAGGGGCACAAGCGACTGTGTCGGTGGCGCGACTGCCGCTGCCCTGGCTGCCTGCTAGTGCTGGAGAGGCAAAGAGTCATGGCCGCACAGGTACGTGTCTTTGATAACTCTCACAGAATGCACGTAAATAAATCTTTGTTACATTTTTCCTCTCTGATAAACGGTTTATGTATTTTATAAAGACGTAAAACCGGTTACCGTCGGTCTTCTCGATACAGAAATTAAAATAAATGAAACTCTTATAAGATATCTACAAATTATTAAATTGGTGTCAATGAAATACAAGCAAATTCTCACATCGGGTACATTTGTGGGTAATGTTTTTTTAAAGTAAAAATAAGGTACACCACCCAACAGTGGGACATATACAACAGCCTGAATATGGCCCACTGTTGGGTTAAGGCCTCATCGGTACAGAACGCGGTAGGGCATAGTCCACCATCCGTGTATTGGCAGTGTTCACATGTTCGAAATATGTTTTTATGTTTTTACTTTCCAAATATCCAGGTTTCCAAAGAATGATAAGTCATCACTTAAATTGAACTGAAATCGGTTTTACCTGAGTTAAAATTAAATATAGTGAATTAAAAGCACCCGTACACTGAAACGTGATAGGCTTAGTTACATTTTTATTTATGTATTTACTGCAACATCTTAACTACGGATTTTAAAAGGCGGATTTAAGGGGCGTGATGAAAAATTGTGGTAGGTGCATGAATTGAACTGATATGTTCATGGATTAAAAAGTGAAATTCGATTTCTTCACGAGTAAAGAGTTTACATCTTTATTATAACAGTTGCCTTCTTTTAGATAACCGTTGCTTTTTGTGAACCGCCACATTGTAGTGCGGGACACCTGCGGTCAATTTTCCACCCCTTTTTTCTTTTATTGCCTCTTTTAAATGACGTATGGTTACTCAAGGATCGATCCTGGGCCCTTTTCTGTTTTTAGTTTATATTAATGATTTGCCATATATAGTGGAAAAAAGGTCTCAAATTGTTTTGTTTGCAGATGACACTTCATTATTGTTTAAAGTTAAAAGGAAAGATGATGCACTGGAACAACCATATCCTAGAAGAGGATATGGTTGTTCCTATCCATATCCTAGAGATATGAAATACTAGATGTTGTGTCCGGCTGATTTGCTACCAATAACTTACTTTTGAACTCCAATAAAACAAAATGTATTAGATTTACTCTTTCAAAGTTGTGTCACCAATCAGGAATCTCTATTGATGAGAAAATCCTACCCCTTGAGGATTCAACAGCATTTCTTGGAATAAGCGTTGACTCCAAGTTGCAATGGGGATTTCATGTAGATAAGTTAGCTAAAAAATTGAGCGCTGCCGTCTTTGCCATACGCAAAATCAGGCAGCTAACTAACGAGGAGGCTAAAATAGTTTATTATGCTTATTTTCACAGCATAATGTCCTATGGTGTCTTACTTTGGGGTTCCGCATCCGGTTTAGACACGATATTTGTATTACAAAAGCAGGCTATACGGGCCGTCTATGGCTTGGGTCCACGTGAGTCACTACGGCATATATGCAAATAAACGTTTTGACGCCCTCGTCGCTTTACATACTTGAGAACATCATGTATGTACGTAAGAATATCCACCTATTTACGAAAAAAACAATCCACATCGCGTCGGGGCCGTGGTGACACTCTGGAAGTACCGAGGTTTAGATTGGCTAAAACCAGAAAGTCGTTTCTTGGAAGATGCATCAACTTTTATAATAAAATAGGTGACATCCACAAACAACTAAGTATAAACAATTTCAAACAATTTGTAAAACCTACCTTAATGGCAAGGGCCTACTATAATATCCAAGAATACATTGAGGACAAGGATGTTTGGAAATGACTCTTGCTCTGCACTTGCAAGACCCCTGGCTGCTGCTGATTTTATACCTAAATAAGTGTGTATAATTGCATCAAAAAAAAATATAACAAAAAGAACAAGACCGCAGAGTTTCTTGCCGGTTCTCCTCTGTGCAGGTCTAGTTTACTGAACCGGAGGTAGATTTTTTGTTGACGTTCAATAAGAGCTTAAGTTAGGCCGATATTGAATAAATATACTTTGACTTTGACTTTGAGGGCATAGCCCACCACGCGACCCCACTGTGGAGTGGCGGACTTCACATATCTTTGAAATATTTTTTTGTTATTATTTCGAAAATTTGCAGGTTTCCTCATAATTTTGTCCTTCACCCCTGAGCATGTGATAAGACATTAAACAATTTCATTGATGCCGGCACCGGGGACTGAACTCAGGTTGCTCGTGTATAGAACTAAAAGTGATCGCCCGAAAAATGATCTATCACGGCTCGGCTAATACCTATATACATACAAAAGGGTTAAGTGTAAGATTTATATGACATTACGAGTTTATGTAATTTTACCCGTGCAACCAGGTAGCCCTAAGACGTCAACAAGGTGCGGGGACCACGAAAGGGAGCGAAGCCGCGGCTTTGGCTGCCCGCAAGAAGGCATACCGAACGCGTTTGCGTTGCATGCAGATGTCCAGAGTGTATCCGGTGCAACCGCCCCATTACGGTAAGTTTAGCTTAGGTTAGGTTAAAATTTAATTTATTTAATTAAATAAAATTAAACTAAATTAATTGAGGTATGTCGATCGAATCGGAAAAATTTACCGAATATACCATAATACACTTTAGTAAGACAAACTCAATTATTTAATTAATGAAAAAACATAATGGCCTTATCTATGATTACTACATATCGATTATTTTCCTTTTTCCAAATTCCGCGTCCTACTCCTGTTGAAATAAATTTATTTCAACAAAACCACAGTTTCCTTCCTTTTACTTGTCATTGGCATAAAAGATAACAAAATGCCAGAGTCATAGAAAAAAAGACATTATTATACCTAGTAACCCAAAAATGTTCCAAAACGGTCCCAAAATAAAACTGTTCAAAAAGGGTTTCCCGCTGTTTTTTCTCTTGACAGTTAATATGTACTTCGCTGCTAGATTATATTATCCTTAGGAGCTTGGACAAAAAATATTGATTTTGTGTGACATTTCATACCGTCCCACGAATGCTTTGAAGTTGCCGCTGAGTCTGGTATATCCGGAACAATCCATGCTACGAATTTAATTTGTTTTATTTAAACTCTGTTACTTTTTTACCAACCGTTGAACGAGGTCATTAGTCTTCCTACTGATGACTTAGTCATAAGGACCTCGAAACTTGATAAGTTTCTGTGTTTGATTTTGTGTGTAAAAACATGCCAGCTCCAAAAAGGAAGAAAGAAAAGTCTAATTATGTTATAAGCAGATTGTCACCAAGTGGTCGAAATGCGACTTATTTCGTCAAACATATGACATTTTAAAATTCCTAGGCGAAAATAATCACTCTGCGCGACCGCATTGCAACAAAGTGAGGGAATGTTAACACAAAAAAACTAATGCTTTATTTTATTTTATTGGTACCGCATATTGTATAATATTAATGTGCGCATGTATGGGATGGACTCCAAAACGAGTAGAACTTTGTATTCGTTCTGCTGTTTAGTGTTGTTTAGGTTCTGTTCTTATCACATATTACAAAATTAAGTCTAGCGTCCGTCTGTCCGAACGTATTCAACACAAAAACTATATGACATATTTTTAGACGATTTTCACCAAAAAACGGAGCGATTAATAATGAAGGTTTAGGTGTAGGTAGCTTTATTTGATTAAGGTTTTTAAATTGACTGAAATATGACGACGATATGACATATTATAAAAAAATAAGATCTAAATACTTACATACTTAAATATAGTTATTAAAGACGGTGAAGTCGCAGAAAACTTCGTTCTAAAATAAACACTTACTACTTTTAAAGAAAAAAAACTGGTGTTGAAGGTAGCAGCTCCTAATTTAAAAATAAACAAAGTCATGTATTCTGTGAAATATACTCAAGATCGCGTTCTTCATTTCATGGGAGTGACAAAAAAATGTTTCCATAACCCGTGGCAGTTGTGCAGTGAAAACATTGAGTTGTTAAATGTTTGTGTAGTGCACCATACGGTCTTAAAAGTGTTGAAAATACTACCTAATACATATAATAAATTTATAAGTAGTACAATAAAATGGTGAAAGTGTTTGATTCTTCTACTACTTCTATTAAGGAGTTTATTTAGAATTTATGTCCCAGATGTCTATAAACGAATTAATTTGAAATCCGGAATATGTATTATGTCTGTGGTCTCACGTAAAATAAACTAAAATAGAACAGGAATAACTCTTATGAATTATTATGCAAATGAAATTAGTTAATCGTTTGACATTGTTATAGAAACAGTAACAGTGGCTAAAAAAGAATCCATTTTAGCATAATGTCCGCGTTGTCATGGACCACTCCAAATTTTATTATTCTTGTAAATGAGTCTACTGTGTCGTCTGTTTCGTTTCCCTCCTCGAAACGCTAAATGCAAATTAGCTGGATAAATATTTACCTTGGAGCAACATTAGGACTGGTTTCATTAAATATTTTGTAAAGCTTTTAACCACTTACAACATTTGTAATGTATTAAAGTGGAGTGTTCATAGTTAGTAGAATGTGTAGTATGCAACTAATTTTATTCGTAAATTAAATTTTTAAACACGCTTTCGGAAAATGGTCGGACAACGAATATACATTATTAAATACTCTAGGCATCTTAAAAAGCTTTTCTAACGCGATACCCTTGTACAATTATACGAAGTGTAAAAAGATACGTCTGAAACAATTAAAAATAGAGCACCACTGGCGTAATAAAGTTCGAACGACTCGTCTAAATGTCCCAGCTTCATTATAGAACAAAAGCTGTCATCTAAGACTCGGCAACATTTCACTGTCTATTAAAAAAAAGCCGAATATCTTTTAACTATTTTTATGGGCTGTAAAAAGTGTGAAGATTGTTTTACAAGAAAACGCAGAGGCGGCTCTTTGTCGGAGTGTCAGGTTACTACTTCATACTGTTGACTGTAAACATGTCTTTCCGCTCGTTTGAATGATAGCTATGCCGATGCCAAAAAATATTCAACAATTTTTTTTTGAAATGTATTAATTTTAAACTGTGCCTTTATGTAATGAGAGCGATATAATATGAATGAGTTTGTAATAAATGTTTTGTCTTTCTTTTTGCATTAGGTGTCACCATTAATTTTCCATGAGAACTGTCAGAAAATGGAAATTGTTCGAGATTATTAATTTGTAATTACAATCTTATTTTCTTTGTTCTAGGTAATTGCTATAATTATGTAAATTTGTTTTCATAAAATCATTCTCTTCATCATTTCATTATAAAAGTTAGGCAAAAATAAACAACCTGAAGTGTTCATTGGCGTATTCATTGAAAACCGCCAAAAAAGAAAAGAAGAAGAAGATTATTAATTTGTCATATATTTGACTCTTATAGAGTAACGTTATGTTATAACTATCAATAACAGTAATAAATGGGCAAATTTTAATGAGTCATGTGAAAAGGTTTAAGCAAGTTTTATTACATCATAATGTTAGGGTAGGACCACGCAACACGCTGTTGTACGAATGGGCAGGTCCGTCCGGGTTAGAACCACGACCTCACGGAAGACCGACGAAGTAGAAGTGTTATAAGCGTAAGCGTTTCGTCTGGTGAGTGAGGTAGCCCGGGCCCATTTTATTGAAAAGTGACAACGCATCTGCAACGGATACTGCAAATGTCGCGTGTGCGTCGGTTATCACTTAAAATCAGGTGACCGCCGGCTCGTTTGCCACATAAAAAAAAATAATCTGGAGTGGCCTACATGTTGTTCATGATCGCCCGATGTAACACTGGCGATCTTTTAATTCGCCTTCTTCATCATTTTATACCATTTTTGGACATATAATATTATTATCGACCCTTAGTTCACGAGTGTGACAACTCCACATACCAGCGTGTAATCAATATATGTAGTATAGATATTTCATATCTACTGACAAATTAGACAGAGAAACATTAAAAGAAAAAAGGACGAAGTTTTTCGCCGCTGCGGGAATCGATCCCACGTCTTCCGGAATCGCACCCAAACTCTAACCACTAAGCTAAACAGCCGATTGACACAACGATGAAATCTCAACGTCTTTTATTGTTTTGGGTAAACCCTTTCGCCTCTTCTAAAAGGTAAGTTTGCCTAATTCCTGAGGTTGGAAATCGAATTGACAAATGATGAAAACTATTAAATGTAACATCCGATACACAGTGCCGTTCTTGAATATTGACGATTAAGATTAGTGATTTCTGTTCGACGGCAGGCAACATTAGGCTGGTGGGTGGCGACCCGGCATGGACGGAGCGTGTGCGGAGGCGGAAAGCGTTCGCGGACGCGGAACTCGAGCGCGAGTTGCCACAGTCGCTGCCGGAGCCCGCGCCCGCTCCCGCCGCCATGCTCTGCACGCATCTGCTGGCCGCCATCCTAACCAACTATGCGCCCTTGCCGCCGCCCCGGCCTAAGATATCCTTTTCCATCGAATCTATTATTGGCGTACAATAAACACCCAGCGTGTGGGGCACCAAGTTTTCGACAATATATCGTATTACGTGTGCCGAAATCGATCGGTTAATTTTTATACACTTCGCTCGAAGAGGATGAAGAAAAACGCGTTTATATGGAAATAAACAAATTTTGTATTTGATGCACAACAATCAAATGAAACAAAACAATCACTATTCACTTTATGTACTATATGCAGTGAATAACGACGTAAAAGTTTTACTATTGTTAATGAATAATAATATTAACGATTAGTATATATTATTTATAACTTAAGCGCAGCAGAATTATTTCTTAACATATGGCAGTCAGCAATCGTTTATTTAAAAATCTTTATATTGACGACCCGATTGACATATGGGACCTGTTTTCTGGGCCAGAGGGTGTGGGTTCAATCCCCATTACTGAAAAAATATTGTGTAATGAACATAGTGTTTTTCTAGTGTCTAGGTGTTATATATCTATATGTATTAATTTACAAAATAATAGTTTAAAAAAATAAATGTTTTAGTATGTGTATCATTAACCTAGTATCCATACTACAAGCTTCGCTTAGTTTGGGACTAGATAACGTGTAAAAAAGTCCTGAAAAAATTTTTTTCAAAATATATTGTTGTTTTATCATTCTGACATGTCATCAGACTATTTATGGTTAGTTAGCCATCTTTGTCTGCACCTTGATTTTATCGGGAGTAGAGTCGGCATTAGTTAGCATTTAGAAATAAGTTGATAAATAGTTGCAGAATTTCCCTCACTTTAAATCTGGAATTAATCAATTGAAAATAACAATAACCTCTTTGAAACGCGATAGAATTAGTTAATTTTATTATAGTTTAACGTCATCCGATTCTTCATACAGACAATTCACCAACTTTGTTAGGCGGGAGGTTACACTTTTTTATCAGCATTTACTGGTTACTGTTTGTACACGAATTAGGTATGTTAAAAGGATATACTATTTCATAGATCGTTTTTCAAATGTTTTATCATGAAGGTATTTGAATATGGGAACATACATAGCGAAAAGAAAATTTTCAACCAAAGTCAAAATATCTTTATTCAATACTTAAGCTATACTTAAGCTATCCTTAAGGCTTTACTTAAGCTATCTTATTGAACGTCAATAAAAAACTACCACCGGCTCACTAAACTAGACCTGAACAGAGAAGAACCGGCAAGAAAATCTGCGGTCTTATTTTTTTTTGATACTTTTTTTTTGTGATGCAATTATACAAACTTATATAGGTTTAAAATCAGCAGCAGCCAGGGGTCTTGCAAGTGCAGAGCAAGTCATTTCCACACGCCCTTGTCCTCAATGTATTCTTGGACATTATAATAGACCCATTAAGGTAGCTTTTACAAAGTTGTTTGTGGATGCCACCTTGTCACCAAAGAACTTGTACCTATTTTAATAATGTTAAGCATGAAGAAAATAAAAAGCCGTTTCGAACAATGAGTGCTTTATTAACGAAATGTATGTATGGTCAAAGAATGTCTGTGGTGAGGTTATTGTATTACAACCAAAACTTATAGGTACTTATCGAAATAAACAGACATTACAATTATGTATACTGCAACAGTGACATAGTTTATGTACATTTTAGACAGATAGCGAGCACAGAAAACTTTCATGGAGTAATTAAATCCTCATATAAAATTATATTTATATTCTTTTGAAAGTATATATGCCTACATTTAGGCCCTAAACTGTAGTGCCTATGCATTTTATAAATGTAAAACATTGTTCTGTACTCACTTCACATTGTTTGTTAAAAATAACATCGTAACTGAAATTACTCGTTAATAGACACAGTAATTTTATGTTTAAAGTTTTTATTTTTTATAACAATTACAAATGGTAGATATAGGGCAAAATTACAATTTCGTTTAAGTAGTTAAATACTCATCAGAAAGTTTTTTTGAAATGACAATTACTATAAATTATAGATATATACGCGATATATAAAATTTAAATGAAGTAAATATAAAATATAGATAGAAAATGTAAAAATATATTTCATTGTGAGTATTAACGCATTAATACATGTTAGAAAAAGAATTTTTCTCTCAGTATTGTTTGATATCTCATCGAGGAATAAGACTAAATAATGCACACAAGAAAATTTGCATTAAGGTGAGCTATGATATATACATAATTATGTATTCAAAACGAACTATCCATTTGATTCCGGTGCCAATAATAGAGCATTGTTGATAAAATACAAAGATTACGTGTAATAAATAACTTATATGTAAAGATTTCGTACGTTTTTATATAATAATTAAATACAGTACAATGCACAAAACGATATATGTATACGAGCACTACGAATACAAGTCGACTAAAAATCACTAATGTTCATTCTCACGATACGACAATAATATTTCTTTTATATAACAATGCCTTGAGGAAGGGATTCGTGCCTTGCAAACGCCACCTCGCACATTCACACATCATGCAATCACTTAATCAGCTACTATCACGGTTTTTAGGAAAAAAAAAACAAAACACTACATTAAAAAGGTGACGAGTAAATCTAATAACCTTAAAAAATAAATTACGACACCCGTACATTGTGTATTCCACTTAAAAACGATAAAAGTTTCGCGAATGTATCCGAGGCAGCGCAATGTCAAACTAGTATCGGGGTTGGTGACAGACGATTTCGAATAACGCCCGCCTTGGCGCTGAACGAGTTGACTTGGCTGCGTTGGCACTTGACGAGGAATGGGACTAGAGGGGACTCGGAATAGACTGGGATTAAGGGACCGAGGAGACACTTCGTGGTAATACATACTGTTATAACAGAGACATCGACGATAGATAACCCCAAAAAGAACTAATAGGCGTAAAGGGAACGAATAAAAAAAAAACGGAGCGAAAATTTTGATCCCAAGGAATGTTCGAATCGTACAGTATCCCGATGTACCGTAAAATATTCCACTGCACACCTAACGCTAAAATTGCATTCGCAAAATAGACTAACTTTTTCAGATGCCAGCATATGGGTAGATCCTGTCCTTAAGGTCGATTGAAGATTGATTCCTCAAATTCCCGAGGCTTGTTAGTCTTGCTGTTGATGCGAAAGGATTTGAAAAAAAAAATTATCCACCTGCGGGTTTAGTATATAAATTCTTACAATAATTTAAACGACAATTCTCAAATAAGTAAAAATTTCTCAAATTCTATATGATTCAACAATACATTTGTGGAACAATTTTGCCTCCGAGGCTCCTATAATATTATATAAAAAGTATTAAAACGGGCAGAAAATCCCTAATAATCCTTAATTTCGTGTAAAAACGCCAACTTTAGAAGAATGGCGGTATAGACAACCCCATAAAAGTATTAAAAACTAGTGCAAGTGACCTTAAGAAAAGGATCTGTGCGTTTATCTGAAAAACTAAATGACAAATAACAAGTGGTTAAAGTCAGACTTTTTCAGCTTTCATAAAACAAAAAAAAATAACAATTTTACTTGCATATATAATAATAATGATAATAATTATACAACTCAATATGTATTTACATATACATAATATTACTTTAAATATACACGTAAATATCTTTATACCGATCACATGTTGCCCGTATTCGAACATAATCGAAATATCGACGAAAGAGTTGTTTTCCTTTGTCTTCTGTTGTAATTGTTTATTTTATAAAGTCATTTTGGTGCAAATATTTAAAAAAAAACAATCCAGTCAGATTTTAGGATATGATTTTGTTCTTTCGTTAAACGCTCCAAGGTCAATATGACTGATAAATTTCGTTACGGGCAACAGAAACATACAAATCGATTAATAACAAAATAGAACGTAAAAATACTATTTGGTATATTATATAGCAGAATTCTAGCTCACATAAAATCTATCAAAGCAGCATATCTACACCGACACAGACATATAATATAATCATACACATATATTAGTCAAAATAAACCAGTCACAAATCACAGACGACATAAATTCTCGATTTCACTAAGTCTTGTAATTTACATTAATAATAGTAGTAGTTAAGACATCAATTTTTTAAACACTATATTTGAAAAGTATAGTGGAGACGTAAAATAAATGCTTTCGGTATAAAAAAATATTACAATTTTATATAGTTGTTCTCTCTTTCTGTGTACACACAAATATATTTCAAGACAAGGTATTAAATTTGACGTTAAACGGAGCGGACTATATTAAGGGTTAGTGTTAATGGCATAACATTGGAACAAACACAAGCGCACAAGAGATTTGTTGAGCAGTGAATGTCGTCGTCAATCAAACAAAACATTACATGTACTAGAAACTAGCGACGGCTGGCCCTAGTGGGAGCCGTATGTGTTATACAAAACTATGCCTTAGTGTTACGAATGGCACGCACTGAGCGTGCAAAATAAAACAGAAACGAAAATTGCCGACTGCGCGTATTTAGCTTCAAAATCAGGACAACCCTCCCTATATACCGATCTAAAATTTACTCCGGATCACCACCCACGCGGATTAACGGACGTTAAAAAAAAACACAAAACTGAGCCTACGCAAAATCGGTAAACGGATCAAAGTGTTAAAAAACCGATTAGAAAAAAATCAAGGCGGGGAGAAAAAAAAGAAAAAAAAATTAGTCGAACGGCAGTAATCCGTTAGATATAAGCTACTCACTATTTATTACTAATCATGCAATACTACAAGTTTGTTACGAATACACGAGACGGCCTTTAACACTACTAATATAAGAACCGACAACCGCACAATTTGTTGTGCAACACAGCGTTCCTAGCGCACACAACCATGCAACGTGCTTAATAGTGTAACGAGTATAGTAATTTCCCCCCCCATGGTATTTCTACGTCATAGCCCGGCATACTGTGCGTTTATGACGTAGCATTTAAGTGGGACCGCCGCTTCGTTTGATCTGTCAGGTACAAGAGTTGCGATCGAAATGCGATGCTCCGGCGGTGAGACGGCGCTGTCCAAAAGTCCTGTCGGTTGGCACGGGCCGCATACCGCTTCGTTCAAGACCCGAGATCACAGAGATCGTGTTGGTTCCCCTGCGGATGCAAAGCAATGCTCGGTCGCAACGTTAAGCCTTCACAACGCACAGGTGGCGGTTTTTATCGCCCAGAAGACAATAATATACCGTTCCCCCGTGAAGATAGGTCAACTTTTAAAGACTTCTTGCAAAGGTTCACGATATCCAGTGGGCTTTATAGTCACATCAATTAGCTTTGACTGAGAAAATACTTCGACATCAAATACACTTCGAGAATAACTAACCGATTTAATTAACATTTTTCCATCCATTAAATTTTTAAGATTTACTTTTTGCGTTCTAACCTTAGAGAACGTACCGACAGCACGTGACCCACGTGAACAAAAAAGACCATTGATTCGAATACATCAAGTAAAACTCACCATAATTTAAAAAAAAAAGACGTCCCGCCACACTTATATGCCGCACATGGCGGAGAGGCGCGCGCTCAGCTGGACGGGGAACTGGTCGGTGAAGCGGCGCCAGTTCTCCTCGCCCACCTGGTTCTTGAAGCCGTGCAGGATCTTCGTGAACATCTCCTTGAGGTCGTCCTTCGGGTGGGACCACGAGGCGACCGCGTCGCAGAAGAACATGAAGTCGGGCACCACGCCGCCCGGGTTCACCTGGATCATCTGGCAGATGCCGCGGAACGCGCTGTCCTTCTCGTCGTTGTCGCGGATGTTGCGCAGCGACGTGCACCTGCGCAGGGGTTGCGGGGGGGGGGGGGCGTGGTTCGCGTCAAGCGGCGTGGGGTCGTTGACCCATCGCACCGACCTCCTCGTCCCCGCGCGCTCGAACGGTGGCGAGGAGGCGGGGGCGGTCGCAAACGTCGCCGCGGGATTGACACTTTCGGAGTGACTTTATTTGTGATGACGGCCGATACCTCTGAATGTCGTGCACCATATCCGGCTATGGCTCGGTGACGAAACATTGCGTTTCACACTCGTTTCAGTTTATGTGGTACAACGGATTGTCTAGGATGGTTCAATATCATTCAAAACATTGTGTATATATTGAAAGCTTGTGGGACAGATATATGATGGAAATTTAAGAACACTCTTCACTTGAATATTTCCATCAACTTTTAAAGTATTGATTGGCTATGGCAAAACCGAAAAAAAAAACTCAACGATTACAAAAAAGTATTTAAAACTTGGATGAGATGTCATAATTGCATTAGCAATTGTATGCATGAAATATTAGGGTAATATATAATATAACACAATGAAGAAAATGTAGAAAAGAATTAAAATAAATAAGGTCACTCTTCTAAGATGATACTTCGAGAAACTTATTTAAAAGGCTGTCTCTCGAAATGTCATTGTCGTAACTTATTAAAAAATTAAATATTAAAAGCAAACTGTAATAAACAATTGAATATAACTATATTGTATGTGTGGATAAGGTGAAGGAAAAAATTTTGGAAGTGACAATAGAAAATATATTAAATGAATGAAGAATCTCATGAGCATTCCAAACTGAAAGCAAGGTACATATAATACTTGTTTAGTCATTGTGAGTTATATATTAATAACATGTACAGTTTATTTGCTGTTAGTTATAGGGCACTTGTATATATATGGACAGGATTTGCCTTGCAGTTTGGACATAATAATATATTATATAGGTTGTAGCTTTATATATAATTTAGAAAGCGGATGGTGTTTAACACACAAGGTACAGCACTGAAAATAAGATGATCAAATAAATACCACCCGATATATCAGTGTATGCAAAGTGTGGCCTCAGTGTACGCAGAAAATTATTTTACATGCCTGGATTAACACAAAGGAACAACTAATAATAAATGAACATTAACAAGCAACGAACAAACACCATCCACAATCGAAATAATACCGAAACTTATTCAATATTAAACGTAATCGTAATAATAATAATATAAAGTAATAATAAAAAAAATTGACTACAGACCACTGGCGTACAAATTGATGTAATACGGGTGCGACGTCGTGGGGGCACACATAACCTAGCCGACCGATAGTAATCGCTACACGCCACGTTATACCGAGAACAAAACCAAGAAAACAAATCAACAAACCATTCAAAAACATATTCAAATTACAAAATTCAACAGCAACAAATAAGTGTTACAAATTGGAAAAAATTGTGAAACAACTTCGTTACTAAATTACTATTTAACGGAAACGTATATTAGTCAAAAGCTGGCCTAGAAAATTTAAAGCATATATTATGTTGTATAAATTTGTATATTACATTACTTGTTTCTACATATATACAGTCTAGGCCACCCCATTGATAAGTCTCACACTTTAGTGTTCTATGGGCACTACTGTGTTAAGAAATATATACATTACACCCCAGAAATTAAACAATATCAACATAACAAATTAACAGGCCAAAACTGAAATTGTAATCTGCTCAGGCTAGCGGCTATTATGTGAATTGTGTTTCTTTCATATATATGAGGTTATATAGTTATATAACATTATATAAAGGAGGTTGTGACAACAATAAATCTATAATAAAATTATAAAAATTAAAATACATTTAACTTGTTAATGTATCTTTAGTAAACAGTCAAGGCATTGAAGGTCAAAAACACTTGCCGAACAATCTGCTAAAGATTTATTCAAATGGTGTATTTCATCACAAACAAGCAAGAAATAATAAAAGTAATAATGGTATTGTATGGAAAAATCAATATAAAGCAGTGAAGGGAGATACAAAGGTAAAGAAAGTATGTTCAAACATAATGTGTCTGCCACCAAAATGTTATATTTACTCAAAATCAATCTAGCAGAAAAATTAAATATATATATTGTTTTGAATCGGAATATCCATTATTATTCAAGTTTCAGTAATATAATAAATGTTTAAAATGTAACTGGTTTATACTTTTGACTTCACTTTTGCAAAATTTGACTTACCTGTATTTTCAAGCAGTGTTTTAGGTGTGTTAGGCCTATTGATTATATCAACTAAATGACTGAGCACAAGAGGTATGTATTTTGAAGTTTCTGGTCCTGAAATAAATAAAAATTACATGAAATATTACACAACAAAAGTGCATAGTCATTAAGGGAATGAATTAACAGTAGCAATTATAATTAGCTCACTAAGAGGACAGACTGGAGAAAAGTATATTAAAACATCACTCAGGGAGCTTCTATAATTTCATAGTGTACATTGCCTGCACAGAATTAACTGGTTTGTGTCATTGTTTGTTTTTCATCATATACAATACTACAATTGATAAGTAGAAATATTTTAACAAACCAAAAGGTTTATAAAGATGGTGTGTTGTTTACTTCCTACAACTACATCACCACTTTTCATATGAAGGATACAAATTAAAAAAGTTGTGGTTATTAAAAAGAATTGGAACTTATTTCAACATACCCAGTTTTATACTTATTTCACCAATAGCCCAAGTTGCATTGTTACAGACAGAGATGAGTTCTGGATTAAGGTTCATGCCCAATATAGGTAGAAAGTCAGGTATGTACAGATGAACATGTTGAAAGCAAGCCTTCGTTAAGTCGCCAAGCAACGCAAACGAAGATTGACGTACCTGAGAATATATTTATGATTTAATTAAAAAAAATTGTATCAAGCCACTGCTGCAAACATTGCAAATTGTGGATTTTATAAAATGCAAGTGTATGAAATCCTGTTTATTTAATTACTAGCAACCCTCCATGGCTTCGTACGGGTGCAATGTTTTATACATATGAATCTTCCTCTTGAATCAATCTATCTAGTAAAAAAACCGCATCAAGATCCGTTGTGTAGTATTAAAGATATAAGCATACAGCAGGACGACTTTTTTTATACTATGCAGTGATGCATAGCAAAGATGTTTACATTTCAAGTGACATTTTACCACAGTCACTACTTGTTTTGCCTTCCCAGAACCCCTCCACTAACACTTAAACTTTATGGTATGGTATTAAAGTTCAAATTGACTTTTAAGTATTATTACGAATCTTTTGTACGGGAATATAGATGTGTTGTTTTTAGACATTTTCATAAGAACCATTTTCTTACCTCAAGAAATGTTATAAAAAAAGAATTAATGAAATCGGTCCAGCCGTTCACACGTGATGGCGTGACCAAGGGAAATAGGGATTCATTTTTATATATATACTAGCTGCTGCCCGCGACTACGTCTGCGTAGAGGGGTGAAAATTTAGGGTTGTATGTATTTTTGTATGCTGTGTCATAAAAAAATAGAAACAAAAAGTTTTATATAAAAAATAAAAAAAAAATTTAGGGGTGGACTACCCTCTTAACATTTAGGGGGACGAAAAATAGATAGTAGCCGATTCTCAGACCTACTGAATACGCATATAAAATTTGTTAAAAATCGGTCGAAACGTTTCGGAGGAGTTCAAGTTCGAACCCCGTGACACGAGAATTTTATATATTAGATAGATTACAGTAAGGTCCTGTAATTTTGAAAAGGATGTACAAAAAGTTTATTATATTTACATACTTCGGGCATTGGATCCCTCATACACTGGTATAGCAATTGCATGAGGTTGGAGTTGTGTACAAGTTGGTCAATGTGTCCATCCAGTCCTTCTGCAAGTCCGCTTAAAAGATCCAACGCCACAATCATAAAGTCTTTATCTGGTGCTTCAAACTGCTCAGGACTTTGACTGTTGGCCTATTGAAAAAGAAAATCATAGTATAAGTTTGTATCTGTTATAAGGAAAGGAATGTAAAGTAGTAAAAAATTATATAATAATGTGAGCTAATTTTAAGCAGAAAATATCTCTCCTTATTTTATTGTGTATTAAAACTTACTATATTTTGGTTGAGTGTTTGTTCTATAAGAGAAACGCATCTCCTGAACACTGGTTCACAATATGGCAGGAATCCCGACTGTAATGCTGTAGCAACTGACGAAAGACACTGAAAAAAATCCCATTATCAAATTATCTGTAAAATTTATTATGTTAAGAATTATCACAGTAGCTATTATTGTTAAGATATAGAAGAATGATATGGCAGAAGTATCATTGTTTTAAATGCAAACCTCGAGTAATGGAAATAAGTCTTTGTCTTCATCCTTTAGAACATTCCATTTGGTAATAAGTGGAGGCATCAGCAAATTTATGTACTCTGGTTTGTTCAAGTGATGACCAACGGAGTCTGCCAAAGTTCCAATGGCGTCGTATAGAATGAGCAAGTTTTTGTGCTGATATTTACTGAAGGCATAGACAAGGGTTTGTAGGATGTGTCCGAGGTATGGGACCAGTTCAGTGCAGGCCTCTTCTTCTAGAGTAGCGAAAGCTGAACATGCCGCTTCTTGCACGCGTTTGTTGTTGTCGAGGACGCGTTTCAGTAACTGTTAAAAAATAAACCTTTTAAAAAATACAATAATTATACTATTTGAAACCTTATGTTAAAACTGACATAAATAAAGTAAAATATGTAGTGATGCAAAACCATTATGATATTAGGATGATTTAATAAACTAATCCTAGCTCTCTCATGCTCTATATTTTTGATTTACATAGACGGAACCAAAATAAATGATAAAATATTTGACTGTAACTTAGTTTTATATAACAATGTTTAACATTCACGTAAATCCAAAATAAATTGTGATGCTTGACAAATAACTTGTCCTTTGAAAAGTTTTACATTCTTTTTAAAACTTTAGTGGGATAGCAATCAAACAGCTGGTCAGTTCAGTATGTAAAAATACCCACCTCGGTCATAACTGGACGAAGATAAAGGTCATGCGACTGGGACACAATCCAGTGTGAGTAACGAGACAGTGTCCAACAAGTTATAGCACGCACAAGTGCTTTGCGTTCACCCAGACAGCACACTAGGTAGGGTACCAAATCAGGCAGGTGTGGTACCATGCCGACAACGCAACCGTCTGCCACTGCACCCAGTGCAAGAATGCCGCTCTCCTGTTAACCAAACCAATGCTATTATTAGCGTTAAAGTGGCGATGAATACACGAGAAAATCCGTTTATGACGCCTCAAGTTTTTGGTTGTGCTTTGGATAGTGAAAAATTAATAAAGTAATTTTAAAATTAAGACATTACATCATCTTTTCTGAAGAACACTCTAGAAATGTACTTGGGGTCGCAGGTGTTAAGCTATTTTTTTATGCAGGGTAATGGGTTCGATTCTCACACAGATAACTGTTCCAAATCTGGGTGTTTGTTGCCACAGAGGGTTCACGCCTGGTCGTAGTGTAAAATGTAGCCAAAACCACTGTGTGTGTGTTTCACTTGTACCAACCTACCTTAGTGGGATGAAAGGAGGAGAATGATAATAGTGGTGTACCTTTATAACCCAGTCCTCATGGAATAGAGTCTCCTTGAGTATGGGGAAGAGGACAGGCAGTAGGTCGGCGTTGAACACGTTGGCAAGTACGTCAAGAGCGGCCGCGCTGCACTTGCGCAAGTTCCAGTCTGAGAGCGAGCCGTCGTCTGCGTCGGCACCACCTTCCTCCTCGTCCTCGGAATCGCCGCCGCCCGACATGTTGCTGTCGCCCGCGCCCGCTGTATGAAGTATGATATATTAACAAATTCATATTTCAGGACATATTTTTACAGAATGTTATCAAGTTCCACAATAAGCAAAGCTTGTACTATCTTTTCTTTTGTAAATAAATATATATTATATATATATATATATATATATATATATATAAACACCCAGACACTATAAAAAACTATCTTCATCACACAATATTTTTCTAGTAGGAACTTATACCCTCTGGCGCAAAAGACAGGGTCACTATCAACTAACCCCATTGGGTCAGGTCAATACAATATAACAAATGTGTATGGACCATAGGAACACCTTAGATGGAGCCTGCTTCAGCTTCTACTTTTGTAACACTGGACCAACTCCTACAGGTAAACAAGAACCACAACTTAACCAACAAGTTATTTTAATCTATTTTAGTGTCTCATAATTTATAAAATCAAGTTTTCTATAGGAATCAACACAAAAAGAATATATTTTAAGCATCTTAGATTGAAAGTTATTTCCATTGAGCAGATTACATACATGATAAATAATAAATATTAGTATTCAATTGTGCATGAATTGTCAGTCAAACTCACCATTATGCTTGATGGTGTGCGAGCGTGGCTTATGGAAGCGCGGGCGTATATCGGACTCGCGATCTGGTTCTGCGTCGTCGGCGTCGTCATCGCGGTCACCTCGTAACAGTATCACGTCCATTTCCGAATATCGCATGCCGCGGACAAGAACCGGTAACAACAATGGTAGGCGTGGCCCCAAAACCTGAAAGAATATAAGTGATTAGTGCTAAAGTTTCTTGATTGCTAAAAATAATATGTAAATATAACTTAATTCAATAAATTTAATTTTTAATTTTATTGAGTTAAATTCTGCTCTTACAATTAAAATGCAATAAAAACAAAGTATATAAAATTGTACTACTTTATTAATGTATTCATTTGCTTACTTCACGACAAACATTTTGTTCAGCTAAAGACAACCAGAATTCACAAGCTTCCAAGGCTACTCCTTCCTCCGGGTCTTGTGTACGTATCAACATATACTGTGGAAAAAGTTCAATTTTATAAAGGCTGTACCAAAAACATAAAAAGAAATAACACAAATACAAAAGTAAAATACCTCAATGATATTTGGGAGATGTGGTATAAGCCTGTCCAATCGCACTTCCAGGAGCAAAACTAAAGCATGACAAACATTTTTTCTCACATCTGGATCTTCGTCTGCAGCAAGATGAAAGAGGTTCTGAAAAATAAGTAATGAAAATATAAAGACAAACTTACAAAAATATACATCTAGTACCAGTTTAGTACTGAATTTTACTAACATGACAAAATATTTTTAAAAGAAAAATTTATGTAAAACAACTTACCTCAATAAAAGAATCAATGTGTAACATAAGAGCTTGAGTTCTGCCCATTATGAAGTAGTTGACACAAGCAATTGCATGACACCTTATTTTAGGTGATGAATGTCTAAAGAATTGTAGAAATTTAGGAATCAATACATTTAATGGTCTGTTAAGTGCGTCACTGTCAAGTAGTTCAGCTGTGTCTTCACAAATTTTTTGTAATGCTCCAAATGCTCCCTAAAAATTATACACATTTTTTATGCATTTATATCACAATAAAGGTAAACAGAGTAAGTACCACAATACTGTACCTCACAAACATTGTAATCTTGAGAATCAAGCATCTGACATAGAGCTGGCAAGAGCTCAGGCCATGATGTAAGTTCACCTTTACTTGCAATAGTGGTTATTATAATTCCCACAGTAGCTCTGATAAGAGGAGAGGGATCCCCAACAGCTGACAGGCATTCTCGTTTTATGAATTCTGCTACTTCTGGTAAAAAGCTATTGTAGTGTGCTTTAACATTATTCTTCAAAATTAAACCACTTAAGGACCTTGTGGGTTCTTCTTCGGTAACCAATTTAGTCAATACAAAAATAAGGTAATTGTTGAAATCCGGATACTTGTTTAATTCTTCCAATTTCTGATAGAACATTGTTATGGAAAATATAATTACAACGAAAAGCTGTCAATGACTGTCATGTCGGAAAAATCGATTCTATCGTGAGAGTGATAAAAAGATGCCAATATCTAATTAACTATAATTCGCAAATTATATATGAATGTTTACGATTATCAGATATAAATATGAACAAGTTAAGAAAATAACGGTTTTATAACACAAAAAACATCCACGCCGATAAAGACCACCGAGGTGAGATTTACAAAAGGATACTTGTTGAACAGCTCTTTGTGTAGCAGTGTCTGGTGATTGAGACTCCTTAAGAAGTGTAAGTATTTGCCGTAATCCTTCTTGTTCAGGTTTCCACTCCATTTTCATAATAATTCCAAAACGGTATTATTTTAGTTCTTTCCAGTAAAGATCAACCATGCCAAAATTTGACGATTATGAGTTGCCAGAGAAGGTATAGAGTTTACCACAGACTATTAAATAAAACAAAAACTCCCAACATCTTTTTTTTGTGATTCATTTTTTTTAATAGAATAGTTTGGCTTGACAACTTCATTAGAAGAGGAACACAGACAAATGACATGCGGACTCCTGAAAACAATTTATCTGGAAAACAATTTGTTACACGACAACGAGGCTAATACTTCCTTGCATTTGGTGCGACCCCGCCCCTGTTATCGAAAGATGTACAATTCGCGGACAATACGATATGTTTTGTGTAGATGAAGTTTGTCGTAACTTAATGTCATTTAATTAAGTAAAAAAGAACCTATCTGATAATCGGTAACGTTGATTAGAGAGAGTTTACTCCGAGTCGGTACTCACTACTCTAGAATAGTACATGAGTGTATGGCTCTGAAGCCGACCTGTTAATTGGAAATGAGATCTAACGTTGAATTAACGTTCATCCATAAATCTCATTCTCAATGCATTCATAAATTGTGCCATAGCGCTTCAATATCAACGCTTATTGTGGTGTGCGCTTCCTTCCATATGGTATGCGCTTTCTTCCACCTAATGAGAATGGTGCAGCTGTCGTAAGTATCGCCATTAGAAGGCAAATGCACTAGTTTGAGTAGAGATTACGTTAGTGCTGGGTGCGGTGCAGTCCCTATTGCCGTAACTTCAACAGATGTGTGTTATAGGGGAGCGTCATCTTGAACAGACATCGGTCCTGTTGTGTAAGCCGTGAATCTACTTTCTACCTCCTCATCCACTTTGCGAGGGTGCATGGGGTTTGCTTGCTAACAGTACGTTAAAGCTAGAGGATGTCGGTGAGGCTTGGCTTTCTCGTCTCCTTCTAACGCTCTTGTACCAATGAGCAGAGTCAGAGAAGGTATCGAGGAGGCATTCTATGATTTAAGGTTTCTCACCAATTTACAGAAGGCTATTTATGTCATTGTGATCCTTCAATAGAGTTTCCCATTTCTTCCCCCTTAGCTTCTGCATGCTGGTTGCTCCTTTAGACCAAAGAGGTTGAAGCAGCGCATCCTGGAGTGGTTTGCGTCAGGCTCACATAGATCTTTTTGGAAAAAAATTAAAACATTTTGATTTATATAATACTAGCTGTTGTTGATTGGTAATCTCAGATTATACATACTCTTTTGATGTCAACTCTGATCAGTTTGGTTTGTATTATGTTTTAATTACTTTAAATTCGTTAGTTTTATTTGTTCGACTGAATTTTGTCATATTTGATAGATTCCGTAAAAATAGCTTGGAGAAGTAACATGTTTATCTATCTGACATAACTCTTGTATTTTACATAAATTTCGTAATGATTACGTTTCGTTAAAAATAAGTTAAAAATGTTTAAGTTGAAATAAATAGTTTTCTTATCAGTTCTTAAGTGTCTTTTTGGTTTGAAAATTTGATCCCATTAGCCACATCTACCATTCAAGAGCTGTTGCCCGCGACTACGGCCGCGTGGAATAGGGTGAAAGTGAAAAATTCAGACAGATACAGACAGATATATATATATATATATATAATAAAAATGTAACATGTCTTTTCTGTACATGGAAGATATTCCTGAAAAACTATTATTAAAGATCCCCCTTTATCAACGAAACAGAACCCAAAACAATGGTTGTTAAAATTGTTGTCTGTGTGTATGTGCGTGTTAATCTCAGAAACGGCTTAACCGATTTGGGTGCAACTTTCACTAATTCATTGTAGTACTTCACTTAACATTTAGTGAATTTTAGTGTTAGTTTTATTCAAATGGGTTCATAAATAAAAAAGGTATATCAACTTAAAAAAAATGTCCTGTGTGAAAATCGAACCCACGCCGTAGGCAATGCCTTGACAACTGCGCATTGTAGTGTTCTGTCAACGGCCTATACGGGTCTCAAAATTAACTAACTCCAATGTGCTAGATAATGAATGGCGTCTATGGCGAAATGGGTATCAGCACTAAGTCGTGTTTGGTTTTCATTAGATTGTTGAGATCGAATTGTTCTCATTCTTTTTAATTCTATCGAGGCATTTTTGTAATAACTACTAAAAGGTAAACTCAATTATTTGGAAAATACTACAAAATAAGTATCTTAATTACAAAAAAAATATCAGATAAAATTTGTGAGTAAACTACGGTGTACTCTAATAAGAAATTTTATCTATAGTTTTTAAATTTTAGTTGAGGAATAGAACCTAATAAGTTTTGAACATTTAAAGCATAAATTAAAATGCCTAATTATTGAAGAAAACATATAATAAAGAATAGTTGTATTAGAAATTTCGGTAAATGTAAATAACGAAAACTATAAGCGACCGCCGAATTCTGCTTGTTGATAAATTCATAAGTGATTTTTCTCTATCGTTTAAAATTTATTTGATTTGAATTACGCCGGAGTTAAAGTTATTTACATTTACCGAAATTTCTGCTGTGGAGACTATTGAAATGGCTTAAAATTATTACTTATTATTATGGACGAGGCTCTGGCGCCCGAACAACCACATGGCGGTACAACCACATAATAATGCTGGAATCCATAGATATCAGAATTGATATCTATGGATTCCAGCTATGCCCCGTACCAAAACCTTCTACACTTTTCTAAACGGCAACAATGTTCGTCCAAGTACATGGTCAAAGTACAAGGCCAATCCAATTGCGTGGGGTAAGACAGGGGGATGTGATTTCCCCGAAACTTAAATTGTTTATAGTGCTAATCTTTGCACTTAAGATTGAACATTAAAATATGTAGAGAAAGTGCGAAAAGATTGTCGCCGCTGTGGGAATCGAACCCACGTCTTCGGCATTCGCGGCCTGACGCTCTAGCCACTGAGCTAAACGGCTGATTGCCAAACCGACGAAAATCTTAACGTAATACGTAATACGTTTTACACAATCTTTACAATTTACAATCTTTTCGCACTTTTTCTATATATTTTAATTCCCCGAAACTATTTACCAATGGAAGACGTCTTTTAGACGCTGGATTGGAACGGACGGGGCATTAATATTAATAGCCAATTAATAACACACTTGGGATTCTCTGACGACATTGTCATTATGGCAGAATCTCTGCAAGATCTGGAAACCATGCTCAACAACCTAAGTGATTCTGTGCGCAATGCACGTTTCAGTGTGCTGGATTGGTAAAGAAACAAGAATGTCGTGAAGACAGAAAGAACACTGTTTATTTTCAGACGTTTGTACAAGTTTTTTCTTATGCAATAAAACGTTCTTCTAGTGGCTGCAGGCTCCTCCTCTTCCGGGCTGCAGGGCTTCTTTCTTGCTGACTTCTTCTAGTTGCTTGTTCCACTGGTAGATCTTGATGCTCGTCGACTGCGATGATGCCCCGAAACGCCGCTATATTTATGTGATCCTGTGGGAATTAATTCCTGCTCTCTGATTGGTTGTCGTATTGGTATCCAATCAGAGAGCGTCGTCGTCCGTCGTCCGGGTCTTCTACATGGCCTTTGTGGGGCCTTGCAGGTGCGGGTATCGAGGCTTAACCTCATGACCCGTGCTTCTTCTCGGGGGCCATTAAGGCACCCCGGTAGTTGGGGCCTATATAGGCGCTACGGTATATACGTTGTTAACGCAGAAAGATTTAACCTCGTTGCTCGCCTAGATGCCCGGCGAGGAGTGAGGTTAGTGTGCGACTTATCGCACTCCAGGTTGCCAAGCTTGCTGTTGTTGCTGTTATTATGCTATTTATGGCCTCATTTGCGACGCGTATTAGAAGTCGCACCACTTCCGTAATGTTGTCTGTTGTAATAGCTTCCGATGTACGCTGGTGTTCGCTGGGGTGGTGTTCTCGACGTACGATTGGCTCCGCCCTTATGTTGTCCCTGAAGCGTATTGTTCTGCCTTCCCCGCTAGGGGGGGGGGGGCGGGGGGGTGTATTTGACGGGGGCGGGGGGGGGGCGATTTATCGCTGTCGTCTCCGTCTCCGTAGTTGGTATTGGCACCGATGGTGCGTCGCTCGCCGACGTCGCGGGGGCATCACGTCCGCGGCGTCTGCGTCGGTGACTTCTTATCCGCTGTGTAGGCGGGTTAGCTGGGGGTTGTAGCGTAGTAACTACTGTGTTGGCTTCTTGCGTCTGTGTCGACGATATTGGTAATCCGCTGTACCGATGACATAAAGTCCCTATATATACCCGCGGCAGTGGTTCGTGCCGCGGTAGGGGGTTGTAAAGCGGTTGCGCCTCTTCTTGTTTGCTCCGGGTCGGTCGGAGGGGGGGTAGATGAGGTTGGGGGCGGGGGGGGGGCTCCCCCCTCCCTTCGGTCTGTCCCTTGTTCGCGCCTTTCTCGGCCGATTGTCACCCAACCGTCCTCCGTAGGCGCGTTTCTTCGGGGTTCCGGTCTTTGTGGGTGCAGTTTCATACCCCGTTTTCTTGCCTCCCTTATGAAGGCGGGGCAGCGCCGATCATTGGCGGGATGCCGCTGGCGACAGTTTGCGCATCTGGCTGGAGTTGTAAGCGGCATAGGGCAGTTTGCCGCAATATGATTATCTGCACATCTGACGCACACAACGGGTCGATGGCAGTTATAGGAGGCGTGTCCAAATTGCTGGCATCTGTGGCATTGCGGTGGGCCGGTTCTACCCCTCCATCCCTCCACAGTAATGCCAGGCATATTAAGTAATTCGACTGTATCATACAGTCTGGCGAGTTCTCTGTTATTGATGCGTTCTATCTGTACATAGAATATACATCTTGTGCGGTTTCTGGCCGGCGGTATTAATTTAGTGTATACCGCCGGGAAGCCTAATTCTTTTAGGGCTTCTGTGATGTCCTCCGGTGGGGTGGTTTCGGGGAGCCCTCTAATCCCGACCTTAGTAGGGAGCTCGGTAGCGGGAGCATAGCAATGCCATTTAATTGCACTGTTTGTTTCGGTGGCATTTGCTAAG